GGGAGGAGGCGGCTGGCAGTCTGGACCCCTGGGTCTGAGGGAGGAGGTAACTGGGGGCTCGGACCCCTGGGTCTGAGGGAGGACGGGCTGGTGTCTGTCCTCCTGGTCCTGATGGAAAAATGCTCCGGTCTGGCCGCTTGTCCCCCAGGGCTCGTTCCCTGCGAGGTACCCGTGGCGTGGTAACTCCGAGGACGGGGTCCAGTTTCCGCTCGACTACAACTACTCGGCCTTCTTCCTGGTGGACGACGGCACCCACGGCCGCCTGGGCGGGGAGAACCGCTTCCGCCTGCGCTTCGAGTCCTACGTGGCGCAGCAGAAGACGGGCGTGGGAGGTGAGCGGCTTCCTCCCCCGGGGCCGCGGCGCAAGGCTCAGGATCCCTGTGGTCCCGTCTGGTGGAAGTTTGGGGATTGAGGGGCGGAGGAGTTACCTCTGGTCAAGCTCCTTCCCCCACTATTTGCTTTGTCTTTAAAAATCTTTGTCTCGAAATCTAAACTACACGAAAGCGGATGGCTCCGTGCAGTTTTAAGAAACTGAACCCACGTGTGCAGCCAGCACGCAGATCAAGAAACCTATCACCGGCCCCCAGAAGCCTTTTCCTTCCCGCCCCGGGGGTCACCCCGGTCCTGCGTGTGGGGCGGGGAGGGGTTCTGACCGCGCTTCTGCCGCGTGTGAGCAGCATCCTACACCATCTGCACGTTCTTGACTCTGGCTTGCTGCAGTTGACATTATTTCTGTGAGATTCATCCCTATCATTGCACCAGTTGTGGTCCGTAAATAACCCATGGGCCAAAAAAGGAAAAAAAAAAAAAAGCCAGAAAATATTTTGAACTGGATGGTAAGAAATATAGGACCTATGAGCACTTTTGGAATGGAGCTAAAGTGGTATCTAGAGGGAAATTTGTAGATTTAAATGCATATATCAAAAAATGGAAGAAAGTCTGAAAGTCGATGATTTAAGCCTCCAATTAAAGACAAAACAAAACAAAAAACCAGAGGGGCACCTGGCTGGCTCAGTCAGTAGAGCATGTGACTCTTGATCTCCGGGTTGTGAGTTCAAGCCCCACATGGGGTGTAGAGATTACTTAAAAAAATAAACTCTTAAAAAGAAAAGAAAGAGGGGTGCCTGGGTGGCTCAGTCAGTTAAGCTTCTGCCTTTGGCTCAGCTCATGATCTCAGGGCCCTGGGATCAAGCCCCGCATCTGACTCCCTGCTCAGCCGAGAGCCTGCTTCTCCCTCTGCCTCTGTCCCTCCCCCCACTTGTGCTCTGTCTCTCTCTGTCAAATGCTCTCCCTCTCTTTCAAATAAATATATTTTTTAAAAAAGAAAGAAAAAAGGGAAAACACCTCCAAACTCCTTCTACCTGCCCGCTTTCCCCAAGCTGCATTGAATTTATATGTCACTTTCTGATAGGTTAACGTGGTATCTGTTTTTCTATTTATTCAAGGCTGGTCCTTAAGTAAGGTTTGTCAATTTCCTCATAAAAATCTCATACCTTTCTGGATGAATTAATTCCCAGGTAATTTGCCATTTTTATGAAAACATGGATAATCTAGTTTGGAGAAAAGTTTTTTTTCTCAAAAAAAGTGATTTTTGTGTATTTTTTTGTATCAGTTCTCTTACCAGATTCTTATTAATATTTATTTATTTTGAGTGGAGTCTCTCCAATTTTCTGAGAATCTAAGTCATGTTTTCTTCCAAGAGATACCTTTGTCCCTTCCAGCTTAAAAAAAATACTAGTTTGCATTCCAATTTTACTTTCTTGCATCATTACATTAGCTCAAAACTCCTGGATGAGTGTGAATAGAAGTAACGTTGTCTTGTTTGTTATTTTACTGGGAATAGAATTAGTAGAAAACTATCTTACATGATTTTGCTGTTAGGCTTTGGAAATGTCTTTATTGTATTTAGATAGTTTCTTTCTTTCTTTCTCTTTCATTTAAAGATTTTATTTATTTGTTTTTGAGAGAGAGAGAAAGCAGGAGCAGGGAGAGGGGTGAGGGGCTGAGGGAGAAGCAGGCTCCCTGCTGAGCCTCAGGGCACCCGACACGGGGCTCAATGCAGGGGCTCTATGCGGGGGCTTGATGTGGGGCTTGATCCCAGGACCCTGGGATCTTGACCTGAGCTGAAGGCATATGCTTAACCGACTGAGCCACCCAGGTGCCCTCTTTCTTTGGTTTTATTTTTAAGAAATCTCCACACCGTGTGGGGCCCAAACTCACAACCCTGATCCAGAGTCACATGCTCTACCAACTGAGCCAGCCAGGTGCCCCTAAATAGTCCTTTCTAGTCCTTATGTGGCATGTGACTCATGCCATAAATACCTGCTTCATTTGGGAGCCTAGGAGTCCAGGCCCCCAGCCCCTTCCTTCCCTGGGAAGTCAAGTATTACTGTCTTCAAAATCTGATCCTTCCTAACCTGCTCAAAGACAGGACAATTCCCGTGAGCCACAGGACACAGGATTAGGCAGAAGCCAAGTTTGTCCCAGGGATTCATGGGAAATACGGTTCTTTCCCATCCCTGGCAAAGGCTGATGGGAGGTGACCAAGCCCCCGGCTCTCTTCTCCCCAGGGACTGGAATTGACATCCCTGTTCTCCTCCTCTTGATCGATGGTGATGAGAAGATGTTGAAGGTATAGGGTTTAAGTGGGGAGGTGGCTGGGAGCCCTGACTCCTGGCTCCTGAGTCTCAGGGGAGGACAGGGCTGGGGATCTGGACTCCAGGCGGGATGAACGCTTGCTTCCCCTGATCTGACTGCCCCTTTTATCCTGTAGCAGATAGAGAATGCCACCCAGGCTCAGCTCCCCTGCCTCCTGGTGGCTGGGTCCGGGGGAGCTGCAGACTGCCTGGCAGAGATCCTGGAAGACACTCTGGCTCCAGGGAGAGGGGGAAGCAGGCAAGGTGAAGCCCGGGATCGGATTAAGCGTTTCTTCCCCAAAGGGGACCCTGAGGTTCTGCAGGCCCAGGTATGACATTGGGGGCCCAACTCTGAATCCTGAGATGGGAGGGAGCTGGGGACCCAGGTCCCTGGGTCTTGAGAGATGAGGATGCTGAGGTCTTAGAGTCCTGAATCCTAGGGAAGAGGAGAATGGAGGCCCAGACTCATGGATTTGAGGGAGGACAGGCCTGGGGGCCCGGACTCCCAGGTTCTGGGGGTCAAGGGTGCTGGGCATCTAGACTACTAGGTCCTGGAGGGACTGGTTTCCTGTGACTCTGCAGACAGAGTTGGGCTTGGGATGCGGAATTCCGTATTCTGCAGGTGGAGAGGATCATGACCCGGAAGGAGCTGCTGACGGTCTATTCATCTGAGGATGGCCCTGAGGAATTTGAGACCATTGTTTTGAAGGCCCTTGTCAAGGGTAAGCCTTGGACCCCAATTTCTCCTCCTCTCTCAGCTCAACTTTGGACACTTTCTTGGCCTGGGCACTTCATCCATCCTCTCTAAAGTTGGGCTCCTTTTTATGTCTTTTCTTTTTCTTATTGCCCTTGGCAGTGTTTCTTGGGGCTTTGCGTGGTGCTGTTTGGACAGTTTTCCCAAGATACCTTCATTATGTTCCAACATTGTTTTCTTCCTGTTGGATTCATGCGTCCATCCATCTGTACATTGATCTTTCCATCTACCCATTGTTCCATTCATCCCTCATTCTCCCGTCCATCCAATCATCCATTCATCTTGCCTTCTACCCACCCTTCTACCTGTCCATCCACATATCCATTGACAGTTCCATCTGCTCATTCTTCCTTCCATCCATCTTTGATCCATCCGTCCATCCATCCATCCATCCATCCGTCCATCCTTCCATCTATCTACCCACTTGCCCTTTCTTCCTTTCCTACATAGCTCCAATACGTTTTAAGCGCCGAGGGGTAGGGGAGTCAGAGATGAACCAGAGCACCATCTCCCACTGAGGAACTCCTGATATTTTACTACAGGAATGGATGATGAAAACCAAGGTTGGGAGCAGAATGGCCACCTGGTAGAGGCTAGGGATGGGGATCATGTATTCATTCAACAAACATCATCCTAGGCTCCAGAGACTAAAGCAGACCCATTTCTTGCTCTGAAGGACCACAGATCCTACCAGAGTTTTTTTTGACACAACCTTAAGTAAAATTGAAGACCAAAGCGTGGAGGGGGAAACCGCTGTCAGTAAAGAGACAAGGAGGAGGTGCTATTTAAATGGGTCTTGAAGAGCTAGTAGAATCTGGACTTAGTGAGATGAGGAGATAGGATAAATAAATGGTAAGGAGGATGCCTAGAACTCTGGGGAGGAGGGCGGGGAGAGTCGTTTTTGGTGTCAGAAGTTTTACAAGGAAAACACCCACTTGGGTAAAAACTCCCAAGAGGCATTGTGCCAGCCCCAGGTCCCCACCCCAACTGTATCCGTCATGTTTTGTGGTGTGACAGAAAGAGCAATTACTTTTGACTTTGGAGTCAGATGAAGCTGAATTGGAATACCAGTTTGGCCCCTCCCCTCCTGTGTGACCTTGAGAAAGAGACCTCCCGCACTCTGAGCCTTAGTTTCTTTCTCTGAAAAGTGGAGATAACCCGAGCCGCAGGGACAGCTTATGAACAGTGCCTAGTCCCCAGGGATGGGCCAATAAATGGGAGCTCTTTTTTTTTTTCTTTTTTTTAATTAAGTAGGCTCCCCAGCGTGGAGCCCAACATGGGACCTAAACTCATGACCCTGAGATCAAGGTGTGAGCTGAGATCAAGAGTCGGATGTTTAACCGACAGAGCCACCCAGACACCCAGGGAGCTCTTCTTAATAAAATTCCATTTCCTGTGGGGACACATCCCGTAAATAGCAGCGAATGGCAGTCAGTGAGCAAATCTGCTTCACTTCACAGAAGTTAATGCACCAGCCTCTTGGGAGAAAACAGGGCGGCTATGAAATGGGTGGGTTGTGGGGATAGTGTTGTCAGTCTGTTGCCTGCAGAAGTGGCAGCGATCTGCTCTGCTGGGGACATTGGAGCCGGCTGGGCGGGCTCAGTGATAGCAGAGTTGAATGGATGAAGTTTCAGCAGGTGAGGAAGGAAGGGGGGAGGAGATGCATGCTCCTTAAGAGTGTGGCATGAGCCCAGGCACTGTGCCAAGCATTTGGCAGACATTTTGCCCATGATCCTCCATTCCTGCTTGCAGGGGGGTGTGGGGCTGGGCAGAGAGGGTCGGAGGGCTAGAGGGATGGGACTTGGGGATTGATGAGCTGGGGGATGTGAAGGAAAGGGAGGGGCAGGGACAGCACAGGGACAGAGGGAGGGTCTGCCTCGTTGACCGGGTGGACAAAGGGGCCATCCCTGAGATACAGAACCCAGGGAAGGTCGGTTCTGGGGAAAGATGCTGAGCTCCATACGGGACATGGCGAGCGTGACGGATGGGGGGAGGTCCAGGTGATAAATGGGGAGATGTGTTAAGGCAGAATAGAAAGTGAGATATTATAATTTTTTTTCTTGTCTTGAAACTGTGAGGAAATTCAGGGAGATCTATAGAATCTTAGAAAATCCCACTGTGAATTTGCTTCTGGGTTTTGAAAAGAAATAAAGGGGCGCCTGGGTCGGTCAGTCGGTTGAGCATCCGACTCTTGATTTCAGCTTAGGTCTTGATCTCAGGGTCGTGAGTTCAAGCCCTGTGTTGGGTTCCATGTCCAGCGTGGAGCCTGCTTATAAAATATGTATATGAAGTTATGTGGCCCTAGGCATGTGACTGCCTCTGTCTCAACCTGTTTCCTCAGCCACTGGCCTTCGAGGTTCCACTGGCCCAGCTGCAGATTCCTCTCTGTTTGGAGCTCCATCCCACAGTTATTACCGTTAACAATGCTGTAAAGTGGGTACCATGATTATTCCCATTTTACAGATGAGGGAACAGAGGCTCGCAAGGCCCAGGGGCTTTCCTGAAAATACTCCACTGGTATTGCTGGAGCTGGGATTGGAACCCAGGTCTGCCTGCCTCAGAGCCCATTGTTCATCTGCACTCCACTAGATTGCCTAGTCCCGCCACTCCAGTTTTTAGAACAACCAAAATGGCCCTCCTTAGTTTTGGAAATCCATGTGAAGCAAGTGGACGCAGAAGGAAAAATGGCACAGGTGCTCTGGACACCAGTGGTGTCTAGACTTTGCTTGACTTCTCCTTGGAACCTTTGCTGGATGCTTCAGATTCTTCTGGCCCCTCGTTGACCGTACATGTTTGGATCCGTTAATTGTTGTGTCAAAGTTTTAAAGGCCCTTTGCTCTTCCTCGTTCTTTTTAATGACCTCCAGGGCCTTCCGGAGCCCCTCTGCGGTTCGGATATTTTTCCCATCTCATTTTCATTTCTCTGTCTTCTCACAAATACGCGTATGTTTCTAGGAAATCAGAGTGACTCACATTTGCCGTCCCTTGCTGTGTTTGCCTGCACGCAGACCTTGGCTCAGGCCGCTCCTGCTGCCTTGGAAGTTTCTTTTCTCATCTTAGATGCACACCTCCAAATCCTGCCCATCTTTCAAAGCCCTACCTCCATGCCCGTCCTCTAGGAGGCCCCCTTGGATCACTCCATACCTCTGTGAGTGTAGCCTCCCCTAATCACATTCTGTGCCCACCTCCGAGGGCACCAATCCCTTGGAGGGTAGTTACATGGTTTCTGAACACATTTCTCTGGAAGGATTCCCTTCAAGGCGGGGGCTGCATCCAGTTTCTTTCTCCATCCCTCCCACTGCCTGGTCCATAATTACGTCAGTAAATGTGAAATGGATACCTGATTGCCTTTCCTTCTTCTTGAGGACTCTAGAACGCTGGTCTGCCCTCTGCCCTGAGCTTAATGACCTTATGCTCGCAATAGCCTGACTTCTTAAAGACCCCAGACGCTACCCAACAACTCCCCCTTTATATGGGGTTTAAATGTCCCGTATCTCCCACTGAAGCAAAACAGACATTCATCTGAAATTCCTACCCCCCCCACCCCCACCCCCGACTTCTCGCGCCCTTTCCCTTTCACCCTTTCAGCTTGTGGGAGCTCGGAAGCTTCAGCTTACCTGGACGAGCTGCGTTTGGCTGTGGCGTGGAACCGCGTGGACATTGCGCAGAGTGAACTCTTCCGGGGGGACATTGAATGGCGGGTGAGGGGGCAGGGCCGGGCGGGCTGTGGATCCTGACAAGGGGGACGCGTTCTCCTCCCTGCCTGACTTCTTCCACATCTGGCTCGGTCTTCCATTCTTGTCCAGCATTCTCTTAATTGTCCATCTCTTCCCATCTCGTCTGCCCTCTCCCCATCCATCCATTCACCCACCCGTCACTCGTAGCTCTGTACCCCATCTCTTGTCCTTCACGTCTGACCTCACCTGGCCTTCTGTCTCTGTCATCTCTTCCTGCCAGTCCGTCCACCTGGAAGCCTCCCTCATGGACGCCCTCCTGAATGACCGGCCCGAGTTCGTGCGCTTGCTCATCTCCCATGGTCTCAGCGTGGGCCACTTCCTGACCCCGACGCGCCTGACCCAGCTTTACAGCGCAGCGCCCTCCAGCTCGCTCATCCGCAGCCTTTTGGACCAGGTGTCCCATGGCGCAGGCACCAAAAGTCCAGTCCTTAAATCCTCTGCGGAGCCCCGACCCCCTGACGTGGGGCAGGTGCTGCGGATGCTGCTGGGGGAGATGTGCGCGCCGAGGTACAGCGCTGGGGGCGCCGAGGATCCCCACCAGGGAGAAGGCTGCAGGGAGAGCGTAAGGACTAGGCCCGCGAGCCTGGGGGTGGGAGGTGGGGGGAAGCACTGAAGGATCTCGGGGCAGGCCTGGGAACGGGGTGTGCGCCCGGACGGGGGTGGGTGGGGGGGGGAGCTGATGGTTTGGGCGGAGTCAGGGGCCAGTCCTCACCACCCCCTCAACTTGCCTGCAGGTGGGTCTGCTCTCGGACAGGGCCCCCTCTGATCTCATGCTGGACGCCATCCTCGGGCAGGCCCCCTGGAGTGACTTGCTCCTCTGGGCGCTGCTACTGAACAGAGCTCAGATGGCCTTGTACTTCTGGGAGATGGTGAGTGCTGGTTTGATCTCTGAATCTACTTTCTTCTACACCCCTGTCCTTTATCCCTACTGAACCCCAGTGCCTGAGCAGTAAGAGTCCCTGACCCTGACGTCACTCCGACCCCCACCCCGGCCTCTGTTCCTGATCTATGACTCCAGCTGCTGCTTCTCCTTCCCATCCCCCAATATCATGCGGTTCTCCTAACTCATGTCTTGTGTAAGCAATGTATATTGGGTATTTTCCCTTGTTCATACATGAGAACCAGTCTCATTCTTTTGGAATGGTTACCTATATGAGGAAGTTAGACGTTATCCTGTAACTGATGGGGAGTCATTTAAACATAGTTACACTTGTAGGGGCGCCTGGGTGGCTGTTGTTAAGCATCTGCCTTCGGCTCAGGTCATGACCCCAGGGTCCTGGGATCGAGCCCCGCATCGGGCTCCCTGCTCGGCGGGAAGCCTGCTTCTCCCTCTCCCACTCCCTCTGCTCGTGTTCCCTCTCTCGCTGTCTCTCTCTGTCAAATAAATAAATAATATCTTTAAAAAAAATAAACATAGTTACACTGTACACTAGAGGCAAGGACATCGGCTAAGAAGGTAGATCTGGAGGCCTCCAGGCAGCCAAGGTTGGGGCCTGGACTAAACACATGGGATGGAGGTGTTGGGACATATTTGGGAAGTTTGAGAAGAAAAAAAGTCATAGGATTTGAATAGGATCTAAGACAGAACCTATTTTTATGCCATAGAAATATCTTGACAGGGGGCTGCCTGGGTGGCTCAGCGTCTGCCTTCGGCTCAGGTCATGACCCCAGGGTCCTGGGATCGAGCCCCGCGTCGGGCTCCCTGCTCAGTGGGGAGTCTGCTTCTCCCTCTCCTGCTCTTGCACTCTCTCTGTCCCTCTCAAATAAATAAATAAAATCTTTTTAAAAAACAGAAAAGAAATATCTTGACAGGACTTCTTCCGCCTTGGGTTGTTTTTAGCTCCTCAAGTCATGGGTTAAATATAGACTATTTTTCATTGAGACAAAATTCATATAACATAAAATTCACCATTTAAACCACTGAATATTGTACAATTTAGTAGTCTTTAGCACACTTACAGTGTTGTGCAAACTCTGTCTAGTTCCAGAACATTTTCATCATCCCAAAAAGGAAACCTTGTACCCATTTAGCACTCACTCCGCATTCCCTCCTTCCCCAGCCCCTGGCGATGACTAATCTGCTCCCCATCCCTATGGACTTGCCTATTCTGGATGTTTTATAAAAATAGAATTGTCTCATATGTGGCCCTTTGTACTTGATTTCTTACGCTTAACTTAGTGTTTTCATGGGTCATCCAAGTTGTAGCATGAAACTGTGCTTCATTCCATTTTGTTACTAAATCATATTCCATTGTATTGGTATGCCAAGCTTTGTCTATCCATTCATCTCTTGATGTCACATGGGTTGTTTGGACTTTCTGGCTATTGTGAATAACAGTGCTATGAATATTGGTGTACAAATATCTGCTTGAGTCCCTGCTTTCAGTTGTTTTGGGTACACATCGAGGAATGGAATTGCTGGATCATGTAACAATTTTATGTTTAAGTTGTTGAGGAACTGCCATACTGTTTTCCACAGTGGCCACACCATTTTACATTCTCACCAGCAATGCACAAGGGTTCCAGTTTCTCCACATGTCCACTAACACTTGTTATTTTCTATTTGTTTGTTTTAATAATTTAATAATTGCCATCCTAATGTGGTTTTTATCTGTGTTTCCTTAATGATTGGTAATATGGAGCACCTTTTCATGTACTTATTGACCATCTGTATATCTTTCAAGATATACATCTTGATGTATATCTTCCTTTCATTTTATCCATGATTTCCTTTAGCTCTTTGAACATATGTATGTCTGTTTAGGTCCTTTGCCTTTTTTTTTGAGAGAGAGATTGAGTGAGTAAGTGGGGAGGGGCCGAGGGAGAGGGAGAGAGAGAATCTTAAGTGGGCTCCACACCCAGCAACTCGGAGCTCGATCTCATGACTCTGAGATCATGACCTGAGCTGAAATCAAGAGCCAGACGCTTAACCGACTGAACTACCAAGGCGCTGCAAAACTTCTTCTTCTTCTTTTTTTTTTTTTTTAAGAGAGGGAGAAGGGGGGTTACAGAGGGAAAGGGGAGAGAATGTTAAGCAGGCTCCACACCCAGCATGGAGCCCAATGAGGGGCTTGATCTCACAACCCTGGGATCATGACCTGGGCAGAAATCAAGAGTCAGACACTTAACCGACTGAGGCACCCAGGTGCCTCCCTTTGCCCATTTTTAAAATTGGTTTGTCTTGTTTTTTTGTGGTTGAATTGTATGAGTTCTTTATATGCTCTGGATATTGATCCCTTATCAGGTATGTGATTTGCAGATCTTTTCTCCCTTGCTGTGGGTTGTCTTTTCACTCAGTTCATAGTGCCCTTTGATTCATGAAAGTTTTAAATTTTGATCAAGTCCAATTTGTCTGTTTTTCTTTGTTTTTGCTTTTGGTGTCACGTCTAAGTAACCATCGCCAAATCCAAGGTCATGAAGTTTTATTCCTATGTTATCTTCTGAGGGTTTTATAGTTTTATAATTATATATAATTATTTAATCCTACATGTTAATCTTATTGAGATTTCCCTGTGTGTGATGAGTCACTTCTCTTTTGCTGATTTCAAGATTCTCTGTTTTTGGCTTTTGACAGTTTGATTATAATGCTTTGCAATGTGAATCTCTTTGAATTTATCCTGCTTCCATTTCTTTTCTGTTGGATGTGCAAATTCATGTCTTTCATCAAAATCTGGGGAGTTTTAGTACCCAAAACTTGAAATATCTTTATATATATCTCAAAATATTCTTTAAGTCTCGAAATATTCTTTTCTAGCCCTTTCTCACTGTCCTCTTCCTTTGGGACCCCTATTATGCATATATTGGTATGGTTGATGGTGCCCCACAGGTCTCTTAGGGTCTGTGTATTTTTCTTTATTCTTGTTTCTTTCTGCACCCCAAACCGGATAATCTCGATTGATCTATTTTCAAGTTCATGCGTGCTTTCTTCTGCTTCCTCAAAGCTGCTGTTGAGCCCTTCTAGTGAATTTTTCATTTTAGTTATTGCACTTTTTAGCTCCAGAATTTCTACTTGGTTCCTTTTTTTTTTTTTTTAAAGATTTTATTTATTTGAGAGAGAGAATGAGAGAGAGAGAGCACATGAGAGGGGGGAAGGTCAGAGGGAGAAGCAGACTCCCTGCTGAGCAGGGAGCCCGATGCGGGGACTCGATCCCGGGACTCCAGGATCATGACCTGAGCCGAAGGCAGTCGCTTAACCGACTGAGCCACCCAGGTGCCCCTCTACTTGGTTCCTTTTTGATAATTTGTCTCTTTATTCCTATTCTTTGTTTAGTAAGACATCCTTCTCCTGGCTTCCTTTCATTTTTACCCATGATTTCCTTTAGCTCTTTGAACATATGTAAAGCAATCGATTTAAAGTCTTTGTGTAGTAAGTCCAATGTCTGAGCTTCCACAGAGACAGTTTCCATTGATTTCTTTTTCTTTCCTTTCTTCTTTCTTTCTTTCTTTCTTTCTTCCTTTCTTTCATTATTATTAATTTCTTTTCTTCTTGGGAATATGCCATTCTTGTTTCTTTGCAAGCCTCATAGTTTTTTGTTGAAAACTGGACATTTTGAATATTATAATGTGGCAACTCTGGAAACCAGCTTACCTCCTTCCTCCAGGATTTGTTGTTGCTTGTTGTGGGTTATTGGTGGTAGTGTTTGTTTAGTGACTTTTCTAAGCTATTTGTGTAAAGGCTGTATTCTTTGTCATGTGTGCCACTGAAGTCCCTGTTCTGTTAGCTTAGTGGCCAGCTAGTGACTTATCAGAGAATTCCTTAAATGCCCGGGTTGGATAGGGAGAGCAAAATGCCCCTGGCTTGCAGACTGGCTCTGTGTTGGAGTGGCATTTCACTACTTAGGCAGGCTGTTTACAATTTTGCCTTAGCCTTCACTTCCTGCTTTTGCTGAGGTGAAAGGCCAGCAAGAGGTGAAAGCTTAGGGTTTTCTTTGGTCTTTTCTGAGCCTGCACCCAGTCTTGGTCATGCATGTAGCTTTCTAGTTTCCCTGATACATGTAGGAGCTTTTCAAACCCCTTATTCCTCAGAGTATCTCCTTCCCCAGCCACTTCCGTCCTCAGCTATTCAGTTTTTGCTTAACCCTGACTGTTATTCTTTGCTTCAGGCATCTGAGGCTAATACATTTGTCTTTAAATGCTTTCAGACACCACCTGGGGAGCCATTTCTGCTTGGGGAAAGCCCCAAGAATAGTGAAACAAAGGCAAACCCTTGAGCTGTTCCTTCAGGGACATCTAAGTCCACACACACAACCACAATTATTTACGAGTAAGATCTGAATTGCTCTCTCTGGTACCAAGGAATGTGGGCTGTTGCCTTCCAGGCTGCCCTTGAGCTGAGGAGTTGACAGTGGTAGTTCAAATGTGACAGTGCTCTTTTACTGAAACTTGGTGTTTTCTTTCTTCGTTGAGCCTTCTCCTGTTTGTTGTAAGTTTTATATTCGGTTCTGGAACTCTGAGAAAGTTGACTCTGACAGCTTTTGCCAGCTTGTCTGTTGCTTTTGTGGAAAGACAGAGTTTTGAAATTCTCTACTCTGCCATTTTAGGTGACATCTCCAGCTGCTTCCTGACCTGTCTATGACCTCTGATGTCATTCTAACTCTGACCCAGCCCCTGGTCCCTGAACGACCTGACTTTTGACATTTTCACCTGATGACTACCAGCTTCTTCCAGATTCATCTACAAACATTTCCTCATCCTTGGCCCCTGATGACCCTGGTTCATTTCTGACTTCTGGTTCTGTCCCTTTCCCTTGACCACAGGCTCGCCCCCTCTCCGCATCCCCTTCTGTGAACCTCTCTGAACTCTATCCATGAGCCCTCTCTCTGCCTCTCCAGGGCTCTAATGCTGTAGCCTCAGCTCTTGGGGCTTGTTTGCTACTCCGCGTGCTGGCACGCCTGGAGTCTGAGGCTGAGGAGGCAGCACGGAGGAAGGACCTGGCGGCCAAGTTTGAGGGTCTGGGTGTTGGTGAGTAAGGCACGGGTGCGTCGGGCTGGGGGGGCAGGGAGCTGACCTGCAGGGGGTTGTGCATCTCCCCACTCCTCCTCTCCCAACCCTGTGCCCTCCCCTTCAATCCCCTCACCTTTCCCTCACACCAGTTCCTCGCTCTCTTTCTTCCCTTCCACGTAAACCTCCCACCCCCAGACCTTTTTGGTGAGTGCTACCGCAGCAGCGAGGAACGGGCCGCTCGCCTGCTAGTCCGTCGCTGCCCGCTCTGGGGGGATGCCACCTGCCTCCAGCTTGCCATGCAGGCTGATGCCCGTGCCTTCTTTGCCCAGGATGGGGTACAGGTGAGCATCTGAGGCGCCAACATCCCACACAGTTCCCACCTGGAACCCTTAGGAAGTATGGAGGATAAGCCCCTGCCATTGTGGGCAGTGAATGGTCTTGACCAGCCTCCCCTCCCCGCAGGAGACCACCTGTCCGCCAGAAATTCTCTCCCAGAAGGGCTGCGCTTCCCGTAAGAAGCCCCACCCCCTGCCACAGGAAAGCCAGCCTTCCCACAGCAAAGCCCACCCTCCGAAGTTCTAGTCCCGAACAGAAATTCCTGGTGATGATAGGAAGTCCCATCTGTCACACAAGAAGTCCTCCCCTCTCCCACAGGAAATCCCATTTCTCCCAAAGGAAGCCCTACGTCATCTACAGGAAGTCCTTCCCACTTCCTTAAGGGGTCCTCAGTTCCAGGTCTCAACAATTAGAATGACCTCACTGAACAATTTTACCTAGTGTTTTGGGCATAGACAAACGGGCTTAGGAAGCCCGCCCTTCCGTAGGAATTCCTCTCCTTTGGGAAGCCCTTCTTGCCCCTTGTCTCTCCCACCATGTCTGTCCTGACATTTAAAAATCTTTCTCAGTATCCTTAGTGTAAATCTGACAAGGGCGTGACGCCTGTCTGGCTCAGTGAGTTACAGCAAGCGACTCTTGATCTCAGGGTTCAAGTCCCACACTGGGTGTAAAGCTTAGTTAAAAAAAATAAAAACATCTGACAGGGGCTCAGAGAGTCCCACCCTCGGTACAGGAAGTCTGCTTGCCCCAACAGGAAGTCTCATCCTCACTTGTCAGAACGATCTGGCTGGCATTTCAAGTAATTACCCAGAGCTCTTTGCTTTGAATAGTGGTTAAACTCATGGATTCCAGCTTGGGCCTCTTCCTTAACCTCCCTGTGCCCCGTCTGTGAAAAGGGAGAAAATATTATCACCTGTTCTGGGAGTGTGGTGGGGGTTAAGTGGGCTACTCAGTGTAAAGTGCTGGGCCTGGTATCTAGCATATTGTGTTAATAACCGTTGGCTGTTTGACTCTACCAGCTAAAACCTGGGACAGGTCATCCTCACCTTTGACCTCCTTCCCCCTCACCCCCAAGAGTTAACAGTCGTCATATTGAGCACCTGCTCTGTGTGCTGAACTGTGGCCCAGTTCCTGCCTGGGGTCTTTGGAAAGGGTCTGTGGGGGAGATTCGGGCTCCTGACCCTCCTCACACCCCACAGTCTCTGCTGACCCAGAAGTGGTGGGGGGAGGTGGACAGCGCCACCCCCACCTGGGCCCTGCTCCTCGCCTTCTTTTGCCCTCCGCTCATCTATACGGACCTCATCACCTTCAGGTCAGTCCCCGGGGCTTAGGTCGGTAGGCGGGGGGTGCTCAGGTTCTCCCCCCCGCTCACTTCTGGCTGCCTTCCTACTTGGTCTGCCCCGTGCTTCCCCTCCGTTTGCTCTTCCCCCTCCCCCCAGGCTGAGGGCGTGTCTGGGAGGTGAGCTTTTGGGGGGGCTCTCTGCAGTGTGTCTGGGGAGCAGTTCCTCTGCCCTCTGGCCATGGCGCTGGGGGAAGGTCTCTTTGGGGTGACTCTGGAAAACGCTTCACTGTCTCCCTGCCATGCCTCTGGGTGAAGAAGTTTGGGTCTCTTTCTGAAGAATTCCTCTTCCACTCGCCTCTGCTCCCATTCCTCACTCCGTGCCTTCCTCCATGGCAGGAAGTCAGAGGAGGAGTCCATGCAGAAGGACCTGGCATTTGGCACGGATCGAGGCGTCAATGGGGAAGGCCCTGTGGGGTGAGTGAAGCCCCAGCACCAAGTGAGGTGGGACACCCTGGGCAGGTTCAGGAGCACCAGGCACTGGGAGCAAAGCCAGAGGGGAGAAGTGGAGCTTCAGGGGGTGAGGGCTTCATGAAACCACTGAAGATACCAAGGGAAGTTTCCCAAATGCCAAGCTCGAGGCTTGGGTCAAGGTTTGGTTCTGCCACCAGGGGGTTCCTCACAGGAAACCACTTTACTTCATGCTACACATACTTCCATCTTGATGTAGCAAATGGAATCAGGTGGATTTGGCTCATTTAGGGATATTTCATCTTTTTTTTTTTTTCTGACTCCAAGGGCCTTTGCTCTTAAATCTCTATGCTGGGGTACCCAGGCCAAAGCAAATAGTCTGTCAAACTTCTGATAATGCCACCGAATGGAGGTGCTGAGGGACTTGGCTGTGAGTCGGACAGACCTGGGTTCAAATCTTGACTTTGACCTTAGAAGTGACTTCACCCCAAGCCTCAGTTTTCTTTTCATTAAAATGAATATATGTGGAAGGTTGTGCCTGTGTTAGGTTAGGTTGGGCAATGCTGCATAAGAAAGCACCTAGGGGCGCCTGGGTGGTGCAGTCGGTTGAGCGTCTGACTCTTGGTTTCAGCTCAGATCCTGATCTCGGGGTCGTGAGATCGAGCCCCACATCAGGCTCTGTGCTCAGCGCAGAGTCTGCTTGCGATTCTCTCTCTCCCTCTGCCCCTCCCACTTGTGTGCTTTCTCTCTCTCTCTAAAATAGGTAAATAAATCTTAAAAAGAGAGAGAGAAAAAGAAAACATCCTACACTCTCAGTGACTGTCAACAACGAAGGCTTACTTCTCCCACTCCATTTTTGTCTTGTCTGTGGCTTGGCTCCAGTATGGTTTCCACTCTGGGATGAGTGAGCACCTCCTAGCTGAGATGTTCCTGGTCTCAGAGCAGAGGGAAAAGAGAAATGGCAAACCAGGTACTGGCTCTTACAGCCTCCATGTGGAAGAAACACATGTCACTTGTGCCCACATTTCATTGACAAAAGTGAGGCATAGGGTAGCTCCTTAGCTCCTAATCCTCCCACTGAGAGGGAACCAAAATACTTGGTGCAGAGTAATACAGTGTGCCCCAGGGCCTGGGGGGAGCCGCTGGGGGGACTCCTGGAGATAATGTATAAAATGCATCAGAGTGTCCAGCACATAGGAAGTAGTCAATTAATGGAGTTTATTATTGCTACTGCTGTTATTGATCCATGTCTCATTTATTTTGTTGAATGGTGGGTGTGGGCATCAGGGTCTAAATTGCTGGTAATAGAGAGAGGAAGAGACCCACATTTATGTTCATCTTTGTACCCTCCATCTCTACTTTAGGCACTTAGGTGAGAAAAAGGAGGGCCCTGGCCTCCAACATCCAGAAGAAAAATGTTTCTGGTAACTGTTAGAAACATGATCAGAAGCCAGAAGCCTGTAAGACCCACTACATACCTCAAGGAGCAGTCAAATTGAAATATATATATATATATATATACATATATATATGCGTACGTATTTTTCTGAGACAGTGCACGATGAATACAATGTATTTGTCAAGATAGAAGAGAAAACTAAGAAAAAAAATTGGGACCACAGAAAACGGTTGGCTAGAAGTCCCCAGTGTCAGGATCAGTAACGATGTCCTTGCCTAGGGAGTTCCCAACTTTTGCACCATGACGATCACAGCAACGGTGACATTAGCTGCTGCCACAGAACACTTACAGAGGGTAGCCAGTGTGCTGAATCCTTCCAAAAATCAGTTTATTTTCTCAACAACCCTATGCAGTAAGGTCTGTTATCATCCCCATTTCACAGTTGAGATCACCAAGGCACTGAGCCACTTGCCTCAGCTCATGTGATTTGTAGGTGGTAGAGCTGGGGTTTGAACCCAGATCTTCTTGCTCCTGAAGCTGTGGAGAGCCACCTCCATGGCGAGCTTTTGTAAAAGGACAGATTCCTGGATGGTCCCCCAGGGAGGCTCAGGACGGGCCCAGGAATCTGTGTGGCCTGGTTGTGCCTGATTCGAGATGGCAGATGGCGGGGAGCATTCTGACCACACATTTTTGTTCCCAGGGCCCCACAGAGGGTGAAATGCAAAATTCCAAGTCTGTTTTCCCTCGACTTTAGGGAACTTCCCGTCCTCTCTGCATTGCACTTTCTTTAGCTTTTATAATTCTTTCCTCTTGTTTTCTTGATAACAGCTTAACTGAGATAAAATCCACATATCATTCAGTTCACCCATTTAAGGTGTTACAATTCAGTGGTTTTTAGTATATTCACAGAATTGTGCAGTTGTCACCACAATCAGTCTTAAAACATTTTTGTCACCACAACAAGAAACTCTGTACCCCTTAATGGTCATTCTGTATTCCTCCCTTCCCCCAGCCCTCGGCGGCCAATAATTGGCTTTTTCCGTCTCAAAGAATTTTCCTATTCCTGACGTTTTGTGTGAATGGAGTCACACGCTTCGTGGCCTTCTATGATTGGTGTCATTAACTTAGCATCTTGTTTTCAAGGTTTCTCCAAGTTGTAGCTCGCATCAGTGCTCCATTCCTTTTTAGTGCTAAATAATATTCTGTTGTATGGATGGACCACATTTTATTTATCCATAGATCAGTCGATGCACATTTGGGTTGTTTCCACTTGGGTTATTTTCTTTCTGCTTGGTTTATAAAAAGAAGATGCCTCTCCGAGCCAGTTTATTTTTCCTGTTAGCTTGTTCAGTTTATTATTATTTGTATTATTCATTTTGGCATTTCTGGTTTGAGGTCAGAATGAAGAGTCAGGATGAAATTGGGACACAGGGCCAGAACTTGGACAAGAAAGGTCAGAGATAGGAGTGGACCAAGGTCAGAATTCAGAAGCCAAATATGGCTGTTTGCGCTGAGGTCAGATATAAGAACACTGGGCTGGACAATCTGACATCAGACTTTGTGGGTAAGAAGTTAATATTCAGGCACGGGGCTGTCAAACCTGGGGAGCTGAGGTCATGAAAGTGAGGGGGTCAGAGGTCAGGTAGATGGTCCAAGGTCAGACATAGAGTCAGAGGTTGTGAAGGTGAAAGACGAGGGATCTGGAGTTAGAAGTCAGACCAGGGTCAGACGGTGGAGAAGGTCAGAGGCGGAAGGTCAGCAGTCTTGAGGGTGGATCTCAGAGGTCAGATACAGGGGTCAAAAGTCAAGGGGATGGTAGACAGGGGACTTGGTTTCAGGTCAGGCAGGGTTAGAGGTCAGATGTGAATGGTGAGAAGTCTTGATGACGGTGAAGAAGGGCTCAGAGGTCAGGCTGAGCCCTCCTCCCTTCCCCCTGCTCTTTCCCCCCAGGCTGGCAGAGTCCCCCGAGAAGACGGCCGTGCGGGTGCTGGGGCGGCCCCCACGCAGGGGCTGCTGCGGCGGGTGCCCCCCACGCCTGCGCCGCTGGCCCCAGTTCTGGGGGGCGCCGGTGACCGCCTTCATGGGCAACGTGGTCAGCTACCTCCTCTTCCTGCTGGTGTTCGCCCGGGTGCTGCTCCTCGACTTCCGGCCCGAGGCGCCCGGTGCCCTGGAGCTGCTGCTCTACTTCTGGGTCTTCACCCTGCTCTGCGAGGAGTTCCGGCAGGGCCTGGGCGGCGGTTGGGGCAGCCTGACCACCCGGGGCGCCGGGCCCGGCCCCCAGCAGGCCCCGCTGCGCCGCCGGCTGAGCCTCTACCTCGCCGACACCTGGAACCAGTGCGACCTGGTGGCCCTCACCTGCTTCCTCCTGGGCGTGGGCTGCCGGTGAGTGTCCCCGCCACTTGCCACCTCCGCGCCTCCCTGCTGGGCTGGAGCCAAGCCCGCTTTTCCCTGAAACACACACGAAAGCCCCTTCTTGATCGAAAGCACCGCATCCAGATGGTCCCCAAGCCGTTTGCTCACACCTGGGTATCTGGCTTTAGGGACGGCGGGACTAGGGCGAGGGCCTCACTGTTTTCCTAGATCTGCAGGTTGGCGGGCTTTTCTCTGCTCCCCCAGACCTGGCCCTGCTGCTGCACCGGAAGCCCGCTGAACTCCCGTCTTCCCCCAGACACGAGGCCAGGCCGGGAGGGGCGGGCACGCTCACCTTCGCCGCTCCGCCGCCCCCTCTCCCCAGCCTCCAGGACTCCCCTCTTCCCTCCAGTCCATCCCCACAAGACTGTTTTTACTCTCAGAGCTGCCCTGCCCCTGCCTGCTTCCCCGGGCTGCCTGGTGGAAACCCGCCCAGCTCTGCAGGCCTGCGTCTCCATTCCTTTCTCTTTTCTTCATCCAGGCTCCAGCCCCTCCGAGCAGCTTGCAGTTCCTTCCTCACAGCGAGTAATTATAACGATCTAATTATAATTATGATTCCGTGTAATTGTAACATTGTAATCAGAATTTTTACCAGTACAGATAAGCTCTTATCAGGGAATGGTTTTCATTTCTGCAAACTTCCTCGATCAGTTTTAGTTGCAGGGCAGTTAAAAACATTTCAGTCATTTTCAGTTTCAGTTTCTGAAATTATTTCAACTTTGTTAATTATTTGGGGTAAGTCGTACAACAAATATTTGGCTCATCATTGGTGTTGTATCTAATGGACCTGAATTTTGTCAAAATCTAGGTTCTGTGTTTGTGAATTTTATGTTGTGGCTTTTATGTCACTCAGGTCCAGTCTTCCTGGGTCAAATTTTATAGATTCACATTTTTTTTAAGATTAAAAAAAATTTTTTTTTATTTAAGATTTTATTTACTTGGGGCACCTGGGTGGCTCAGTCGTTAAGCGTCTGTCTGCCTTCGGCTCAGGTCATGATCCAGGAGTCCCTGGATCGAGTCCCCCATCAGGCTCCCTGCTCAGCTGGGAGCCTGCTTCTCCCTCTGCCTGTCTCTGTCTCTCATGAATAAATAAATAAAATCTTAAAAAAAAAAGATTTTATTTACTTGACAGAGACACAGCGAGAAAGGGAACACAAGCAGGGGGAGTGGGAGAGGGAGAAGCAGGCTTCCCGCTGGGCAGAGAGCCCCATGTGGGGCTTGATCCCAGGACCCTGGGATCATGACCTGAGCCGAAGGCAGACACTTAATGACTGAGCCACCCAGGCGCCCCTAAAAGTTTTTAAGTCATCTCTACTCCCAGTGTGGGGCTCGAACTCACAACTCCGAGATCAAGAATCCCATGCCCCGCCCAAGAGCCGGCACCCCTCCAGATTCACATTTTATCAGGGAAGCTTGAATGTTCTGTCACCTTTTTGGTCCATAAAAACCTTGACTGTTTCTGCTTACTTCTTAGCATAAGCAAAACCAGATCATCAGGAATTCACCTCAAATATCTTCTGTTGCCGAGACTGGGCTGTGTCATGTTAGTTCATTTCTTCCGTGGCTTCCAGATCATACTTTGTGGTGCCCAGAGAGAGGTCAAAGGGCACGTCAAAACATCCTTGGAAACATGGATGTTTTGGGTCTTGGCATGTCATGTCTTTAAAATTTTGCAGCTCTCAATTTAACCTTTAGATTTTTTTTTTCCCATTCTGATGGGTAAAAATGACTCCTTGTCTTAAAATTTATGCGTCCCTGACTACTAGTTAGCTTGGGCATCTGTTCATAGCAAATGGCCACTTGTCCTTCTGTCAATGTCTTTTCATAGCCTTGCCGTTTTAGAAAATACACGTTCCTTTATGTTTGTTGATCTCTTGTATATGCATACGGGTAGGTGCTCTCCTAGCCCTTGGTGTCTTTTGTTTTTGTAAAATTTTATTTTTAAGCAATGTCTACATCCAACGTGGGTGAATACTTGAACTCACAACCCTGAGATCAAAAGTCGAACACTCTGCCCATGCCAGCCAGGCGCCCTAAATCTTGGTGGTTTTGTTCTAAATACCTTCTGTCTGCAGCTTCTTTTCATGTTTGTATATTATCTTAAACATTCTTTTATTCTTTAAGTTTGTATCTGAAACAACCCGAGACTTATAAAAAATGTGGCAAAAACAGTACAAAGAATTCCTCTACATTTTTCACCCAGATCCCCAGATGTCAACACCTTCCATTATCAAAACTAGGAGATCTTAAATTTTACCAATTGTCCCATGGATGTCCTTTTTCTGTCCCAGGAGCCAATCCAGTTCTTCAGTCCTTCTTTGGCTTTTATGATCTTAACACTTTGAACAGTCCAGGCCAGTTATTTTGTAGGATTTGCCTCCATTTGAGTTTGTCTTCAGTTCCCTTGTGATCAAATTTAGGTCATGCATTTTTGGCAGATAGTTTTGCCTTTCTCTGTTGATCATTTTATGTTATCTTTTGATGCATGGAAGTTTTATATTTCAGAGTAGTCAAATTCATCAGTCTTTTACTGTATTGTGATTTTATATATACGTTACTTGTGTAGAAGGCTTTTTTTGTTTTGTGACATCTCATCCTATCAAGCTCATGAAATTCTTCTGTATTTTCAGATTATAATGTTTTGCCTTTTACTCTGAGTTTTTTTTTTTACAAAAGTACTTTTTTATTTTATTTTTGAGAGAGTTGGGGGGGGCCGAGGGAGAGGGAGAAAGAGAAGCTTAAGCAGGTGCCACACTCAGCACAGAGGCAGAGGCGGGGTTCGATCTCAGGACCCTGAGATCATGGCTTAACCTACTGAGCCACCCAGGCGCCCCTTGCCTTTTACTCTAGATTTTTAATCCATTCAGAGTTCAAATACATGATGATGCAAATAGGGATATAATTTTTAAATTTTCCCCCATAGGGACTGCCGATGTTACTGGCCATTTGACCTTCCTCTGTGAATTGTGTGTTCTCTTTATCCACTCTCCTTTAGGTCGTTTGTCTTCTGCTTACTCGTTTGCTGGAACGCTCTATATTTTGCCTTTTATGGGTTGGACAAATATTCTGGCAGTTTTTCCAACTTGTTACGGGGCCTCCCAAATTTTTGTCAGGGCCCTGATTTATGCAGCCATTTTTGAGCGGGTGCCAGCGCCGTGCGCGGCTCACCCTGGCGCTGTGAAATCTGGGTAAACCCCGGGTGAATTGGAGGGTCCCGGCTGCGGCCTCTCCAGGGTCCCCCGAAGCCTGGTGTTTGGAAGACCCGGGTTTTCCTTTGCACCCCGTGACCCGAGTGACCCCTGCCGCGTCTCCCCGCACCCCAGGCTGACCCCCGGACTGTATGACCTGGGCCGCACTCTCCTCTGCCTCGACTTCATGGTCTTCACGCTACGATTGCTGCACATCTTCACGGTCAACAAACAGCTGGGGCCCAAGATCGTCATCGTGAACAAGATGGTGAGGGAGGCGGGGCCGGATGGGGGGGCGGTCCAGAGGAAGGAAGGGGCGGGGCAGGGAGTTGCGGGCACGCGTGCGCAGAGCAGGGCGGAGGCGGGGTTTCGGTGGGCGGGGCCGGGCCGGGGCCGGGGCGGGGCCAGACTTGGTCTTCTCTTCCTACCTCGCAGATGAAGGACGTGTTCTTCTTCCTCTTCTTCCTTGGTGTGTGGCTGGTTGCCTACGGCGTGGCCACGGAGGGGCTCCTTAGGCCCCGGGATCGTGATCTCCCGAATATCCTGCGCCGTGTCTTCTACCGGCCCTACCTGCAGATCTTTGGGCAGATCCCCCAGGAGGACATGGACGGTATGGAGGGATGAGAGGGCCTGAAGCCCTCCCTCCGAGCCCTCCCTCCCAGTGCTCCCCGTCCCTGGGTCTCTGTACCCCTCTCCTTAAGTCTCTGCGTCTCTCTCTCCAGGTCTCTGAGTAGCCCCTACCCTCCTTCATCTCTATGGGACTCTGCCTGCCTCTCTCTCCGTATTTCTGTTCCCTGCCTCTGGGTCTCTGACCCCTCCTCTTTCTCTCTCTGGGATTCTGTCTCCGTCTCTCTGGGTCTCTCTCCCTCACGCCCCTCCGAATTTCTGTTTTCCTCTGGTCTCTGTCTCCCTGGCCCCATCTCTGAGTGTCTCCTTTTACAGTGGCCCTCATGGAGCAAGTCAACTGCTCGTCAGAGCAGGGCTTCTGGGCTCGCCCGCCGGGGGCGCAGGCAGGCTCCTGTGTCTCGCTTTATGCCAACTGGCTGGTGGTTCTCCTTCTCATCATTTTCCTGCTCGTGGCCAACATCCTGCTGCTCAATTTGCTCATCGCCATGTTCAGGTGAGGCCTGACTGCTCTCTGATCTGACCTACCCAGCTTGACCCTGACCCCAGCATGATTCTTGACACCAGCCTAAATCAATTCTCTCTTTAGTCCCAGAATTCAGACTCTGCTCCTGACCTGTACTTTGGACTCTGATCCTCTCCCTGAGCCCAGGCTGAATATTTAAAAAAAAAAAAAAAATTATTTTGGCAAAATACATATAATTTGCCAATTTTAAGTGTACAAATTCAATGGCATTAATTAAGTTCATAATGTTTTACAACCATTACCACTATTTCCAAAAAATTTTATCACTCCAAACACAAAGTGTGTACCCACTGAGCAAGCAATAACTTCCCATTCCCCACTACCTCCCTAGCCCCTGGTAACCTGGAATCTGCTTTCTGTCTTTAGGAATTTGCTTATTCTAGAGGTTTCTTCGTATACGTGGATTTACATAATATTTGTCATTTTCTGCCTGGCTTATTTCACTTAGCATAACGTTTTCAGTGTTTATCCATGTTGTAGCATGGATCAGTACTCTTTTTTATGGCTGAATAATATTCCGTCGATCAGTCTATCACATTTTGTTATCCATTCATCTGTTCTTGGAAACTCGGTTGTTTCCATCCCTTGGCTATTGTGGATAATGCTGCAATGAACATTAGTGTTCATGCACCTGTTTGAGTCTTTGTTTTTATTTCTTTTGGATATATTTCTAAAGTAGAATGCTGGGTATGCTGTGGTAATTCTGTTTAGCTTTTTGAAACTGTTTTCCACAGGAGTGGCACCATCTTCTGTTCTCATTAGCGACGTATGAGAGTTCCGATTTCTCCACAGCCTTGCCTAGAGTTGTTATTTTCCTTTTCAAAAGATTATAGCCATCCTAGTTAGTGGGTATGAACTGGTATTTGTTGTGGTTTCGATTTGCATTTCCTAATGACTAAAGATGTTGAGCATCTTTCCCTGTGCTTATTGGCCATTTGTACATCTTCTTTGGAAAATGTTTATTCAGGTCTTTTGCCTGTTTTTAAATTGGGTTGTTTGTCTTTTTGTTGCTGAGTTATAGCAGTTCGTTATATATTCTGTATGTTAAACTCCTATCAGGTATATGATTTGCAAATATTTTCTCCCATTCTGTTGGTTGCCTTTCCTGTTCTTGATAATCCCCTTTGATGCACAAAAGTTTAAAATTTGTTATTCGTACACTGGTGTCATATCTAAGGACCAATCACCAAGTCTAAGGTAATAAAGTTTCATTCCTATGTTTTATGGTTTTAGCTCTTATATTCAGGTTGTTGGTCTGTTTTGACTTAATTTTTGTATATAGTGTGAGGTAGGAGTCCCAACTTTGTTCTTCTTACATGCAGAAATCCAGTTGTTCCAGGTCTCTGTGTTTAAGAGACTATTTTTTTCCACATTGAATGGACTTGTCACCCTTGTTAAAAATCAGTTGGCCATTGGCCATCGTATTAGTTTCCTGGGGCTTCCCTAACAAAGTACCAAAAAGTGGATGGTTTTAAATAACAGAAACTTTCCCATCCCAGTTCTGGATGCTCTAAGTCCAAAGTCAAGCTATGGATAGGGTTGGTTCTTCTAAAGGCTGTGAAGGAGACTCTGTTCCCTGCCTCCCTCCTACCTTCTGGTGGATTGTTGGCAATCTTTGGCTTGTAGATGTATCACTGTACCCTCCACCTTCATCTTCATATGGTATTCTCCCTGCGTGCATATCTGTGTCCAAATTTCCCCTTTTCATAAGGACAGCAACCTTGTTAGACTTGGGACCGACCCTAACAACTTCATTTTAACTTGATTACTTTTGTAAAGACCCTACTTCCAAATAAGTCACATTCTGAGGTACTAGAGATTAGGATTTCAACATATCTCGTTTGGTGGGAAGGGGACACAATTCAACCCATAATACTCATAGATGTATGGGTTTATTTCTAGACTCTCATTTCTGTTCCATTAGTCGATATGTCTGTCGTATGCCAGTACCACACTATTTTGATTTTGTAGCAAATTTTCGAATTAGGAAGTCTGAGTCCTCCAACTTTGTTCTTTTTCAAGATTTCTTTAGCTATTCAGGCTCTCTTGCAATTCCATATGAATTTGAGGATTGGCTTTTACTTTTCAGCAAAAAAGGCTGTCACAATTTTGGTATGTTTTGTTTTGTTGTTTTTTTTTTTAAAGCTTTTATTTATTTATTTGACAGAGAAAGAGAGAGCACAAGTAGGCAGAGTGGCAGGCAGAGGGAGAGGGAGAAACAGCCTCTCCACTGAGCAGGGAGCCTGACGTGGGGCTCGATCCCAGGACCCCAGGATCATGACCTGAGCCAAAGGCAGCCGCTTAACCGACTGAGCCACCCAGGCGCGCCAAGGCTGTCCCAATTTTGATAAGAATTGCGTTGAATCTGTAGATTGCTTTGGGTAGTATTCTGATGTTAACAATGTTAAATCTTTGTACTCATGAACACAGCTTGTCTTTTCACTTATTTAGGTGCTTTTTAAAATTTCTTTCAGTATTGTTTTGTAATTTTTAGTGTAAAAGTCTTTCATCTTGGTTAAATTTATTCCTCAGTGCTTTGTTTTTTAAGATTCTATTGTAAATGGAATTGCTTTCTTAATTTCCTTTTTGGATTGTTCACTGCAGGTATAGAGAAATACAATGGATTTGGTTGGTGATCTTGTACCCTCCAACTTTGCTGAATTTGCTTATTAGCTCTAGTAGCTTTCTTGTGATTCTGAGATTTTTGATATAGGATCATGTCATTTGTGAATAGAAATAGTTTTATGTCTTCCTTTCTAATTTGGATGCCTTTTATTTCTTGTTCTTGCTTAATTGCTCTGACTATAACTTTCAGTACGATGATGAATAGCTGTGGTGAGAGTGGGCATCCTTGTCTTGTTTCTTATTTTAGCGGAAAGCTTTCAGTCTTTCTTCATTGAGTTTGATGTTAGCCGTAGGTTTTTCATAAGTACCCTATATCCATGTTGAGGAATGTTCCTTTTAATCCTATTTTTCTGAGTTAAAATTTTTTTTTTTACCACGAAAGGGTGTTGGGTTTTGTCAAATGCCTTTTTTGTGTCTGTCACTTGAGATGATCATTTGGTTTTTTTCTCTTTGTTCTATTAATGTGGTGTATTATATTGACTTTTGCATGTTGAATCACCTTTTTGCATTATTGGGATAAATCCCACTTGGTCATGGTGTATAATCCTTTTAATATGCAGCTGAATTAGGTTTGTTAGTATTTTGTTGAGGATATTTGCATGTGTATTCATAAAAAATATTGGTCTGTAATTTTGTTTCCTTGTGATATCTTTTTTTTTTTTTTATTTGACAGAGAGAGACAGAGAGAGAGGGAACACAAGCAGGGGGAGTGGGAGAGGGAGAAGCAGGCTTCCCGCCGAGCAGGGAGCCCGATGCAGGGCTCGATCCCAGGACCCTGGGATCATGACCTGAGCTGAAGGCAGACACTTAACGGCCGAGCCACCCAGGCGCCCCTCCTTGTGATATCTTTATCTGGGTTGGTAATGCTGCTGGCCTCAGAATGAGTCAGGAACTGTTCTCTCCTCTTCAGTTTTTTTGGAGAATTTGAGAAGGCTCGGTGTTAATTCTTTTTTTTTTTTTTAATGTTTCATAAAATTCACCAGCAAAAGCATCTGGGCCTGGGATTTTTGTTGTTGGGGCATTTTAATGAGTGATTTAATCTCTTTATTTGTTATAGGTCTTTGAGAGATTTCCTTTTTCTTCTTGAGTCAGTTAGGTAATTTGTATGTTTCTAGGAATTTGTCCATTTATTTCATTTAGGTTATCTAATATGTTGGCAAACAATTGTGATAGTGTTCTTGTATAATCCTTTTTATTTCCGTAAAGTTGGCAGTAATGTCTCCATTTCATTTCTGATTTTAGCTATTTGTGTTCAGCTGACTTTTGAACCTGTCTATAACCTCTATCCTAATTCCTGACACCATCCCCACCTTGACCTCTGACATCTGACTCTTTGCCCTCCTAACCCAGCTTCTAAGTGCATCCTGTAATACCTCTGACCTTATTGATTCGGACATCTGCCTGCTGCCTTGGACTTCAAATATATTGTCTAATATCTAACCTTGATCTGCCCTCTTTGACCTCTGGTGACCCTTGACCTCTCGTCCCCACAGCCACACCTTCAGCAAAGTACAGGGAAACAGCGACCTCTATTGGAAGGCTCAGCGCTACAGCCTCATCCGGGAATTTCACTCTCGGCCCGCGCTGGCTCCGCCCCTTATCATCATCTCGCACGTGCGCCTCCTCATCCGGCAACTACGCAGGCGCCGGTCCCGCTTGCCGCCCTCCCCGGTCTTCGAACATTTTCGTGAGAACGGGGTTTGATACAAAAGGGAAAAGCACCGGGGTCAGGACCTGGAGAGAAAGAAGAGCATGGATAGGCTGGGGGAAGTTGTCCGGGAGCACTAGTGCGCAGGGATTAGGCGGTCAGGGAGCCGGTGTGAAATATTAGGGCGTGGCCTAGGGCTGCACGGGGCGTGGTCTGGGAGGGCTCGCGCTGGAGACCTTGGGTGGGGAGGCCCTTTGACTCCGTCCTAACACTGCCCCCCAGGGGTCTACCTCTCGAAGGAAGCAGAGCGGAGGCTGCTGACATGGGAGTCGGTGCAGAAGGAGAATTTCCTTCTGGCGCGCGCGCGGGACAAGCGGGAGAGCGACTCCGAGTGTCTGAAGCGCATGTCGCAAAAGTGAGGGCAGGTCCTGCCTGGGGGCGGGGCTTCCGGCCTCGGGGGCGGGTCCCGGGACTTCGGTTGAGAGGAGCCCCGGACCGGGGCTAGGGAGGCGCGGGGCTCCAGGTGGAGCCTGAGTGGGGCGGGGCCCCGGCGTGCTGGGGAGGAAGGCGGGCCTCCAGGGGGCGGGGCCTCTGGGGCGGGCAGGGCTAGCGGGTGGCGGGAATGGGCCTGATGCCCTCGTTGCTGTGGGTTGCAGGGTGGACACAGCGTTGAAGCAGTTGAGACAGATCCGCGAGTATGAGCAGCGTCTGAAAGGACTGGAGCAGGAAGTGAGGACTCCCGTACCAGGCTGGGGGAGTGTGGCCGGGGCGGGGGTGCCGGTGTGAGGTTCCGGTCTCCTGCCCTTCTGTCCCTCCTGCTCCCCAGGTCCAGCACTGTAGCCGTGTCCTGGGCTGGGTGGCCGACTCCCTGAGCCGCTCCGCGTTGCTGCCCCCAGGGGGGCCACCGCCTCCAGCCCTGTCTGGGCCTAAAGGTCAGTGTTGTGGGGTCTACGTGTGTCTATCCCTGGCCTCTGTCATCACCACCCTATGTTCTGGGGCTTTTGTTCCTCTATCTCTGAGTGTTTTTCTCCTGTTCGCCGCCCTTCCATTGTCCCTGGGGCACACTCTCCGTCTCCTTTGGGCTTTTCGTCCTTCTTTCTCCTTCTTTTTGTCACTCTTCCATTTTTTTCTGTCTTCCTCTCCATCCCCACCACCTGTTCTCTCTCCTCTCTTCCCCCCAGACTGAGCCCTGCTGGCAGACTTCAAGGAGTAGCCCCCACAGGGAGTTTCTGCTCCCAAAGTCCTACTGGTCCTTGACCCTTGCACCTCCTGGCCTTGTCTTCCACACGGGCCCCATGCTCATGGAGGACCACCTGGGCTGCTGTCAGGACCACCTCAGGGAGTGTCATCCATGCGAACCACTGCAGGCCCAGCTCCTCCTAGAACCAGTCCCGCTCGGGGAAGATCAGCCTCTGGAGCCCAGGCATTGCTCTTCTGAAGGCCCTGCCACAGCCTGCTGGGCGGGAGAGGGCTGCAGGGTCTTTGGGATATAGGGATCACAGATCCCATTTGCAGCTCCCCACACTGGGGAAATAAAGCCATTTGAGAGGAGTGGAGTCCGATGCTTGATTCTTGGGGAAATGGTGGGCATCTAGATCCTTTTGAGGTGGGGGCTGGGGCTGGGTTTGAGGTCATTGGTCAGTCTGTTGCCGTATTCTCGATAATCTCCAGGTCTGTTCCCCACTCCCAGGCCCACTTTGCCTGTCTGACTCAGGCCCAGCACCTCTTGTCTGCACTATTTTGATGGTTCTCACTTCAGTGGGACAGAAACCCCAACCGTCTGCACCTGCCTAGTTTCTACTTTCCAGTGGAAAAAGAACTCAGTGATAATAAGCAAATTATTTCCTGGAGTGGGGGTGGGTGGGAGCTATGTACATCTGCTTTGGAAAGAGGGGAACAGATGATGCAAATTTGAGTAGATAACTGCAGAAATGTCTTTAAAGAGTCTAATTAGTGGGAAATTGCAGGCCACATGCACATGGAATTGAGGCAAATATGCATCATTATACATGCAGTTTAACTAAACAACCCATAACAAAGTAAACTGGTAATGACAAGACTGAACTGACAGCAGTTATTAGTTAAATAGCAAGAAACCACCAACAACCATCACATCCCCAAATCACAACCAAAACATCCTTCCTCCAAATTGGAGGAATTCCAACTATCTGCCACTTTGGGTGCAGAGTAGCTTTAAATATTGCCAAGTGTTTTGTGGCAACCAGATTTCTCTGGAAGATTGAATTAATTCTCACTAACCCAAGTCGTAATAATAATGTAAACGACGATGGTGGCAATATGAATAACAATACTGTTTGAGATTTTAAAAAATTTCTAATTGCTTACTGCTAGTTTACAGAAATATTGCTTTCTTTTGTTTATTGACATGTTCTATGATTTTGCTAAACTCATTTATTAGTTCTAGTATAATTTTTGCAGTCTTTGGGGTTTTCTCTGTATCCAGTCATCCTGTCTGTAAGTAGAGGCAATTTTATTTCATTGTTCCAATTTGTATTTTTTTTTATCATGGTAAAATATACAGAATACAAAATTTACCATTTTAATCTGTTGGAAGCATGCAACTCAGTAGCATTTAGTACTTTCACAAAGTTGCTCAGTGATTACGACTATCTCGCTCCAGAAGTGCTCATCACTCCAAACAAGGGCTCACCACCATTCTGATCTCTAGCTCTCTGGATTTGCCTATTCTGGATATTTCATACAAATCGAATCATCACACATGTGGTCCCTTGTGTTTGACTTCTTTCACTTAGCACAATGTTTTCAAGGTTTATCCATGTTGTATGAGAACTTCATTCCTGCCTACGGTTGAATAATATCCATAATATGTATAGATCACTTTTATCCATTCATCTGTTGATGGACGTTTGGGTGGCTTCTACTTTCTGGCAATTGCAAATAATACTGCTGTGAACATTCAAGTACAAGTTTTTGCTTGAACACTGTTTTCAGTTCTTTTGGGTATAGACCTAGAATGGAATTTGATATTTCTATGATTAACTTTCTGAGGAACTGCCAAGCTGATTTTCACAGTGGGTGCAACATTTCCTGTTCCCACCAGTGATACAGGAGTTTCCGGTTTCTTCAAATCCACACCAACACTTGTTACTTTTCGTTCTCTTTGGTTATCAATATCCTGGTAGGTGTGAAGTGGTGTGTCATTGTGGGTTTGATTTACATTTCCCTAATGACTGAAGACATTGAGCTTCTTTTCATGTGCTTGTCAGCCATTTGTACATCTTTGGAAGGAATGATGTGTTAGTAATGACCTCCACCCAATCACAGTTAGCGAGGGATGGGTGGGGCTTGAATGAAGACAAAAATGAAGGCCCTGCTACCCAAGTCATCATCTGAGGACTACCTGGGCTCAAACAGACATTTCATAGTTTAGGAAAGACACACAGTTGGTCCTGAAGCCTCTAACTCTAAAGGAGGTCAACAAGGATCAGCCTTCATGGCTCTTGTATGTCTCACAGGTGGAAAATTTTGCTGAAGCTGATGCTTCATGACTTAAGCATGTTAGACTCCTTGGTCCATGTTCCCCAAGAAGGAAAATGGACCTGACTTCAACTGATAAAGCACATAGTGGGGGAAAGGAAGCCAAAGTGACCCTGTTGGGTAGGGGCCTTTAGGCCAATTCAGTGTGCCGTTTGGCTTCTATTAAATGTATAATTGGTGTTTCATGTGTCCATACCGTGAATGTCCTCTAAGTGTCGGGATTCTCCCATCCAGAGACTGGAGCATGTGTAGTCCTCTCCAGGATAGTGTACAGAAACAACAGTATCCCAAAAGGAGAAAGGGAAATCACAGTTTTCGTGACTTCATGGCTGCTGCGGGACCCAGGGAGGCCCTTTCCCAGTACAACAGCGCCACCTGCTGACACAACCACCATAAACACGGTTTTCATAAAACATGGTTTTATGAAAAGGCAGCTATTAATTTGCTATTCAGCTCTCCTTGAAAGAGGAGGCCCCACCCATGGAGGCCTCCTGACTCTCTAGCCTTACATCTTCATTCTGGGGTCAGTCAACTTGAACTTGACAACCAGTAAGGTCTGAAATGGTTAAATGTAAATGGTATATTCAAGGGCACGGCTGCCCTGGTCCTCATGTTAATCTGTTTTGGAATGGGAAAGTGGCAGGAACCCATCACAAGGAACTATCCCCCACTCCACTGCCTAAAGCAAAGCCACGGGCTCCATGGGGCCTTCAATTTACAAAGGTTCCCCTAAACAACGGGGCCCGGTTCATTGCTGGTTGGGCAAAGTTAAAGGCTGGTACCCCAAAGCCAACCCTGGAAGACAGACTGAAGTTTATAGTTAAGGTTTTGGATGGGACTTTCTATTTTCCCTACTCTCCACAAGCATCTGGTATTATTGATTTTTGGAATAATTTCCTCAAAAATCCATTCAGAATATATTTCTACCTTTCTCACGTCCTGGTCCACACACCTTAGGCAGGTGGTTTGGTCACTGAATGTGGGTGTTTCCAGAGAGGCTTCATCTCTTCCAGGCTGTCTCCTGGATAATGACTGAGGCTGAAGGGGTGAGGGAAGTACAAAGACTTATTTTGAAAATTAAGGATTTTGGCCCCTGGCTACTCTTGGGTCACTCTTCTTTCTGCTCGACTGCCTGGGTGGCAGCCTCGCCCAAAGTGGGACAACTAGGGAGTTCAAACTAAATTCTGCTTTAGCCACCAGCACTTTCTTGTTGGCCTGACACAGCCCCAGATCAGGGGTTGGCAAACTATAGCCTGTGGGATATTCTGGCCCTTGAGCTAAGAACGATATTTACATTTTTAAAAAGTTATAAAAAACAAATAACAAAAAATGTACTATAGAGACCATATGTCCTGCAAAGCCAAAAATAATTATCTAGCCCCTTATAGGAAAAGTTTGCTGACTCCTGTCTGAGCTGAAGCTACTTGCTGACTACCCATGCGGCTTAACTAAGCCAATGGAATGGCCATCCAGAGCAAGGTTAACAACAAAGCCCCTCACCCATGCCACAAGACCTCATTGCAGGGGGGCCAGAGGTTTCCACATTCGCCAAGACTACCAACCTACCCGCACACAGAGGTCACCTCAAATGTCCTTGTTTTCCCCTCCAAGCTTGCGGAAGCACCTCAGATTGGGGAATGGACCCTAGCCGCAAGGGTCAAGAAATGGTTTACCTGGTATGGAAATGAAAAAGAAAAGGATCCCAGACTAGGGACCGGAAGATCTCAATTCTATTTCCACCTTAGTCGCTGACTGGTTACTTGATCTCAAGGCCACTCTTTCTCTTCTCAGAGATTTCTGCAGTACCCACCCCCTGGTGGGTGAAGGAGCCCAGCAAAGGGCCTGTCTGCTGCCTTGTCTAAGTGTTAACCAAGGCATGGGGGCTTCTTGCAGCCCCTGGGACATTGTCCTCCACGCCAGGACTCCCCAAGCCCAACCACACACAAAAACAAAGACCCTAGAGCTAGAGCCCTACATGGTTTAAGATGCATCATCGTCACTGGATTTTAGCTTACCCTGCCAGACTCTCGGCATACCTGGTTTGTGGTGGCCCATCCTGCCTCTGAGATGGGAAGTGACACAGAGGTGAGGGTGAGGGTGGGAAGGGAGACAGGCCCTCTCCCCGCAGCTCATTTCCTGAGTTTCCTGAGCCATGTCATCCCAGACCCAGGGTCCCTGGAGAGCAAGATGGAGGCAGGAAGCCAGGAGGTGTGAATCTCAGACGCAGGAAAGGCCTGCAAGCTTCTGCCTCTGACCTTTTCAGGGCTCTCCAGATTTGAGTTGTAGACACTATTACACTGGGGGTGCAGGAAGAAAAATTTAGAATTTCTACTTAAATCTACTTTTTTAACGGAAGAAAGCAAAACAAATTAAGCTTTACTGATATTAAGTATGTAGAATGACAGTAGTTCACAAGTAGATTTTCTACATATGTTGGGAATATTTTCTCAAAAAGTTGTCACTGGTAAGGGAGTGTGATAAGGGATGTTTAGAGATCTCTGAGGTAAATAAAAGTGTGAATGGGCAGGCAGAGATTTGGGAGGTGATTTGGAACCGGAGTGGGTGGTGATGGAAGCTGGCACTGATTCTCAAGGTCATGAACTTTGGGGATGGGGAGTTGCCCAGGAAGTCTCTAAGAGGTGTGGCTTCTAGAAGGTGCCTCCACCTCCTGAGCTGCCTTAACTCCATTTGGTGTTTGAAGAGGCAGGGTGGTTACCTATGCCCGCAGACAACCCTAATAAGCTCTAAGTTCTCGAAGACTCCTTGGTCCTGAGCCCACAGAAACCTGGTGCTTACCTCACGATGCCCAAGTGGGTGGGTGACTCTACCCCAAGTAAGAATGAAGCATGATAGCCAGAGAGGACCTACCTGCCTAGTGCTGATCTAGGCATGCTCCCCTCTTGGTAGGAGTAGTGAGATGATAATTATGAGACATATTTAGTATGGTCACCAAACCAAGTTAGATTTAAGGGTTAGCACACTTTCTGGCACACACTGATTGCTACAAAGTTCCCCAATGGTTTGTTTCAATTCCAGAACAAGGAGTAACGTAGAAACTCTGTATCTGTGTCCCAAAGGGAGAGGGAGATCGGAGTCACCAGACTGGACACTCAGTTCACCAGAGGTTGGTGATTTGGAGGGTATATGTGTAGAAGGAGGCTGACAGAAAAAACACTGTGCCCACAGCCTGTGCATGGGGTCTCGGGATTGATTTATTGACTCAGCATTGTTACCCTAGGCCATTCTGAGAGGGTAGCCCTGGAGAAGTTAGCCAGTGATCCAGTTTGGTGGTGGAGTTTGGAGTTTGGAGGGAACACTGTCTGTCTCCATGATAACTGGGAAGGCTGGGTCCTAGAAAGTGCTATGAAGCCCATCCCCATCATGCCAACATGGTACTCCCTCCTCACAGGGAGAAAGGAGGCACTAGGTTCAGCCCTGTGAACGGCTGAGTTGATTTCTTCGTCTGAATTCTCCAATCCCAGAGCAGAATGTTCCACTTAGCAGAACTGGTATTATTCCAGGAGAGGAAAGGGCTCCTGAGTTGTCCATTTCTTTCCAAGGCCAAATGAGTGGTTCCTAGGCAGAATTTCCATGTGCCCCTCCCCCTCCTTTCTGGCAGAACCAATTATTTCTGTAGCAAAACGGACACTAAGGCCACCAGTTACTGGACAGATTTGCTGCCTTGGAAAAATGGGTGGTGTCACCAGTTACTGAACAGAGTTCTCGCGCCGCTCTTCTTCTTTGGTCTCTGTGTGCTGGTCACTGTTGTCTATGGCTGTTGAGGCCGGGCTCACCTGCCTTGAGATTGGTAGGCTGAGACTCCTTACGGACGATATGGATGTCACGGAGGTAATGACAGGCAGGCTGAACCAGGAAGAGCTCTGGCTATCCCTACTCAAGGGCAGGCTGAACTGCCATGGGTTCAGGTTCAGCCCCCTAATCAAGGGCAGGCTGAGCTTCTTGGAGGAGCTTTCACCGTTTCCCTCCTGGGACTTCACGTGGCGCTTAGGCAACTGTAAGGGCTTGGGGGGCACCAAGGGCATCTTTTTGGACTGTAGCTTTCCAAAGGGATCGGAAGCAATGTGGTCCTGGAGGTACCACCAGTGTTGAAGTGGGTAGACTGGGATCGGCAGGAAGGTGAGCATGCTGAGGAAGGTGACCCAGCCCAGGGTGCTCTGCAGGTAGGGCTGTTTTACCTCCTGGCTCTTGAGGCAGAGAGAAGGGAGCAGGATGGGAGGAGGTGGCGGTCAAGGGATTTCAATCCATGTGATGCTGGGGATCAGGTTCCTCAGGGACTGGGAAGCTGGCTAAAGGGTCCCTGGGAATGGAAGCCCAGACCTCGGGTCCTGTGGAACGGGAGATCAGATGAGGGGTGCCCAGAGTGGGGCGGGAGGCCAGGTAGGGGAGTCTCACCATACTGCTGTTCCAGGCAATGTAGTAGGGGGGTTCTGTCTGGTAAAGCTGCATGAGGCAGATGGTGGTCAGGGCCAGCAGCCCGGGCAGGGTCACATAGCACCACAGGACAGTGAAGAAGGACCACAGCAGGCGGCCCAGATCACCGAATATTTCTTCTCTGACCCTGGGGTAGGGGCAATGGGCAGAGATGTCTGGAAGGAGCCCTCTTCTGGCCACCAAGGCCTGGAGTTCTTGGGAGGGTGGGTCTGCCAGACCTCTGGTTCTCTCACCAGTTCTCAACTCATAGGGGCTTACCAAGTCCTGCTGGGCCCTCCCTGAGGCTGGGACCTGCATCTGGTCTCCTCATGGGAGCCCCCTGATCCAGGGGGAGTGCTGGGCTCCAGCCCTCTGCCTTCAGACTATCCCATGTGGCCCGTGGTAGGGGAAGTTGAGTCTCCTGGTTTCTGACTACTCTTTCTGTCAGGACCCACCTGGTTGCCCTCCGATCACTCCCTCCTGCACCCCAGTGCTATTAGCTAGAACCCCTGCTGTGGGACGGACAGAGGGAGCAGTTCATGCCCCCTGTCTCCTCAGAGGCCTGGGATGGGTCCCTGGCTGGGCAGACCCCAGGGTTTGGACATCACCTCCTAGCTCCGTAGATCCAGGCCAGGGCCACATTCTGGAAGGCCACAATGATGGTAAGGATCAGCGGGACCAGGCAGTCATCAAACAAGGACATTATGTAGCTGCCAGAATGACTGGTGAAGATGAGGCTGCCCAGAAAACCTCCCAAGCAGACGAGCGCTGTGGCAAAGGCAGGTTTGGCCACACTGAGGTCTGTGTGTAGGGCTGGGCCAGGGGTCAAAGTGAGCCCAGGAGACTGGGGTGACCTGGGGAGAAGAGTGAGAACCCACAGTACCTGACAGCAGCTTGGGATGCCTCCCAAAGATGGAGATGGAGTTCTGGAGGGGATAGACAATGCCTTCCAAGATCCTTATCAAGGTGTTCAGCCCCATGATGACCAGGGCCAAGAAGAAGAGGATGGCCCAGAAAGAGGAACCAGGGAACAATGAGACGGCTTGGGAGAAGGCTGCGAATGCCAGGCCGGGGCCCTCCATGACCTGTGGGAGAGAAGGGCTCTCAGGCAGTGGTGGGTCTGGATGGGGGCAATGGTGCAGCGATCGAGTAGCAATGTCTGTGTCGGACAGAGAAAAGAGACACAGAGCGGTGGGCGGATGGCAGAATGCTGAGTGTTTGCTGAGCTGGGTGAGCTTCACCTCTTGGGGCCTCAGGCTCCTCCTCTAACAAACTGGGACCCTAGGGTTGATGTGAGAATTAAAGTCAAGTGACAACTTAGCAAAGACCCTGGTACATACACAATGGTGGTGGAGACATGACTGTAACTGTCGCCTGTGTCAGACGATGCATGGGGTGGCCCCCAGGGTGCTCTGGGGGCCTTTGGGAAGCACCGTCCTGCCCCCACAAAGGCACCTTTTCCTTCTGTGTCTTGATGCTGCAGGACGGGGTGGAGTGGATGACCTGGTCCTGGAGGTGTTGAGGGAGATTGCTGATCCACTCTAGATAGTCCAGGGCAGGCGAGAGTAGGATGTCCTCTGGGGGCTTGGCATCCTGGGGCAGCACGCCCTTTTTTATCAGGTTCATCAGCTTTGAGACGCTCCTGAATGGGAAGCAGAGGTGGGGAAAGGTGGTGACCAGGCTGACACCCCTGCTCTCCGCAAACCAGGGCAGCTGGGGACTGGAGAAGAAAGTGAGTGGCCCGAGATGAGAGCAGCTGAGTAACAAGGGCCACTGGACATGGCCTGGAAGCTCATCATGTGGACTTGGGGTGAACTGCCCTGGGGATTCCACCTAAGGGGCAGAAGATTCTATATTTGTAGTAGCTAAGATTCCTCAGTGTTATGCAGTGAACAGTTCCCCCACCCCCGGCTAAATTCATATGTTCAAGTCCTAACCTCCCCCCCAACCCTGCTACCTCTGAATGTGAACTTCTTTGGAAATAGGGTTGTTACAGAGGTAATTAAAGATGAGATCATCCTGGGTAGCCCCTGATCCAATATGACTGGTGTCCTTACAAAAGGGGGAAATTTGGACACACACACAGGGAGAACCCCATGTGAGGGCGAAGGCCGACACCTACAAGCCAAGGAACACCAAAGATTGCCAGCAAACCACCAGAAGAGGCATGAGACAGATTCTCCCCCATCATCCTCAGAAAGAACCAACTCTGCCAACACATTGATCTCAGATTTCTGCCTCAGAACTGCGAGGAGATAGATTTTTGTGTTGGCCTTGCAGTCTGTGGGACTTTGTGATGGCAGCCCTGGAGAATGAATACACTCAGAATTGTCTCTCTTTTTGGACCTAGGTTTAGAGTGCTGTGATAATCAACCCCGTTCACGATCATTCTCCTCAACCAGTAGAGCAAAGTCTGTTTAAATTTTTCCCTCCTTCGAAAGGGGAACCCTCCTACACTGTTGGTGGGAATGCAAGCTGGGGCAACCACTCTGGAAAACAGTATGGAGGTTCCTCAAACACTTGAAAATAGAGCTACCATACGATCCAGCAATTGCACTACTGGGTATTTACCCCAAAGATACAAATGTAGGGATCCGAAGGGGTACATGCACCCCAGTGTTTATAGCAGCAATGTCCACAATAGCCAAACTGTGGAAAGAGCCAAGATGTCCATCGACAGATGAATGGATAAAGAAGATGTGGTATATGTACACAATGGAATATTATGCAGCCACCAAAAGGAATGAGATCTTGCCATTTGCAACGACGTGGATGGAACTGGAGGGTGTTATGCTGAGTGAAATAAGTCAATCAGAGAAAGACATGTATCATATGACCTCACTGATATGAGGAATTCTTAATCTCAGGAAACAAACTGAGTGTTGCTGGAGTGGTGGGGGGTGGGAGGGATGGGGTGGCTGGGTGATAGACATTGGGGAGGGTATGTGCTATGGTGAGCGCTGTGAATTGTGCAGCACTGTTGAATCACAGATCTGTACTTCTGAAACAAATAATGCAATATATGTTTAAAAAAAAGAAGAAGAAGATAGCAGGAGGGGAAGAATGAAGGGGAGTAAATCGGAGGGGGAGACGGACCATTAGAGACAATGGACTCTGAAAAACAAACTGAAGGTTCTAGAGGGGAGGGGGGTAGGGGGATGGGTTAGCCTGGTGATGGGTATTAAAGAGGGCACATTCTGCATGGAGCACTGGGTGTTATGCACAAACAATGAATCATAGAACACTCCATCAGAAACTAATGATGTAATGTATGGTGAACATAACAATAAAAAAATTAAAAAACAAAATTTTTCCCTCCTTCAAGTCTGAATTTCACTCTTTCCTTCACGCCTACAGCTATTCACTTTCATGTGCTTGACTAATAACATTAAATACGGGTATTTCTTTGTAAAAAAAGAAATATACGGTTTTTAAAAAGATTTATTTATTTATTTGACAGAGAGAGAGCGAGCACAAGCAGGAGGAACGGCAGAAGGAGAGGGAGAGGCAGACTCCCCGCTGAGCAGGGAGCCCGATGTGGGGCTTGATCCCAGGACTCCGGGATCATGACCTGAGCCGAAGGCAGACTCTTAACTGACTGAGCTACCCAGGCACCCCAAGAAATATGTTTTGCGCGTCATCACTTGAGTGTCATTGTGTTTTGGTTTTCTGTTTCTTACTTTTCTTCCCTCAGTTTTTCTGGCAATATCTCTACAGTGATGAGTTTATGTCTGGTTTGTTGTTTCTGCCTGTTGCCTTCTGCGGCATTTGCAACCCACATTTTATACTCTATTCCCCAAATAATGACCCCACTCCCTGCAATTACAAACATTGCCACAATAACCATCCATTAGCAGGGCTCTTGTGAGGACTTCTCTAGGATACACAGTTGGGAATGGGGATCACTGGTCCATAAATACTGTGCTTGCTTAATTTAAGGAAATGCTAATGGATCTCAGCTGTCTTCTGTCCTCCTGATTAGAAAACTTTGATAATCCATACCTCCACTTTTCCTTACCTAAAGAGAATAACCTAGAGCCTTGCTACTCTAAGTAGAAGCTCCCTGGAGGGGCAGCATCACTTGGAAACTTGGTAGAAATGCAGAAACTTGGGTGCATCCCAGACTTTCTTTTGCTCTAATGCTGATTCATAATAGTCACTGCAGTTTGAGAAGCTCTATATAATCAAGGGCAAGGAGCTCATGCGGTAGTTCTTCTAGGGCCGCACTAATATGATAGGCACTAGGCACATATGGCACTAGGCGCATAATTTATGTCAACTAAAATTAATTAAAATGATATAAAATGAGGGCGCCTGGGTAGCTCAGCCAGTTAAGCATCTGCCTTTGGCTCACGTCATGATCCCGGGGTCCTGGGGTGGAGTCCCGTATTGGGTTCCCTGCTCAGCAGGGAGTCTGCTTCTCCCTCTACCCCTCTCCCCTGTTCATGATCTTTCTCTCTCAAATAGATAAATAGATAAATAAAATCTTTTAAAAATGACATAAAATGAAAAATTCAGTTCCTTGGTCACATTTGCATTATTTGGCCACATTCACCACATTTCGAATGTTCTAGCTACTTGTGGCTGGTGTCTACGATACTGGATAGTGCAGGTATAGAAGTTTTCTGGCATCACAAAGAGTTCTACTGTACAGTGCTGCCTGAAGAGCTAATGGTTCTCACTGGAATCAACCAGGAGCTTTTTTAAAAAACAAACTCAGTTTTTATTGAGCTATAATTTAGAGACAATAAAAAGCAGAGATATTAAATGTACACTTCAGTGAGTATTGACAGATGACCCAATCAAGATACAGAGTATTTCCATCACTCCACAGAATTACTTTGGGCCCCTTTCCAGGGCACTCCCTCCATTCCAGAGGCCACTATGGATTTCCGTCACTACGCATTCATTTTGCCTATTCCTAGATTTTGTACAGATTCATAAAGTGTGTAATCTTTTATGTCTGGCTTGTTACATGCAATATAATGTCTGACATTCATCTATGTTGGTGCATGTATCCACAGTTCATTTTTATTGGTAGATAGTACTCCATTGGTTGAATGAATATACTAAGATCTATTATCGGTTCACCTCCCGACAGACATTTGGGTTGCTTGGAGTTTTGGCCATTACAAATTAAGCTGAAAGCAAGATTTCCTGCCCTAATTCTCTCTCCTTTCCTCTCCTTCTGCAATTCCAATTATACATCTATTGGTCCTCTGGGTCACTGAGGCTCTGCTCCAGTTTTTCTCATTCTTCTTGTCCTTTCTGTTCTTCCCTTTGTAGAACTTCTATTTACCCTGTCCTCAATTTAACGGATCCTTTATTCTGCTGGTTCCAATCTAAACTAAATACATCAGTGAAACTTTGTCTTCATCTACGTTTTGAGTTCTAGAATTTCCATGTGGTCCTTTTTTAAATTTTCTGTATCTTCTCTAAAATATCTCCATGGCTTCCATTATATTCATCTTTTCTCTTAAATCCCTTAACATTTATAATGGTTGTTTTAAAATTCTTGTCTGCTAATTCTAATGTCTGGATGATCTTTGGGTCTTCTTTTTTCTCTTGGCTATGGATTATGTGGGTTTTGGGATGTCTTGAGGGTTTTTAATTCCATGTTGGACATTGCATAGAGAACAACAAAGGAGAAAGGTATGTTGTTTGTTTTATTTTGTGTAGTCTCAATACACTTAAGCCTTTTATTCCAACAGGCAGCTAGAATGAGGTCTATTTAAGAGTTTTCTAAGCACTGAGGCAAGCTGGGGTGGGGGACAATTTTAATTAGTTGAGTTTTTTCTCTGCCCTCAAATGGGATTAAGGAGGGCTCACTTTGTCCTCGAGCCATGCCCCCAACTTTCTGCACAACCCCCTCCCCCCCAGCGAGGATTAATTTCTTTGATGTTGTCCTTATTTAGGTTGGAATGGGCTGGATCGGAGCTTTAGATGTTTTTGGTTTATCTTCGTATTCAGCTCCAGTGGGGCCCCAAATCTGAGCACCATGAGACCATGCATAATAGCTCCTCTGCTTGCTAGCCTTGTCTCTGTTGCAGCTCTACCACTTCTACAAAACAATTCTTGGGAATAGAGAGGAAAACTGTTGGGTTGAGCAATTTATTTGTTGGGGCTCGTTGTGATTCCAACACCTACTGGCAGCCCATGCTGTGATTAAATGGTTGCATGATTTCTTCTTATCTGTGCAAGGTCTCTCCACCTTCAACCACTTGCCCCTGGGTCAGGCGCTTACCCCCATTCATGGCTCTTTGCTTACGTATGATGAACTCCTCACTCTCCAGCATTTAGTTCATTAAAGCTCCTTTGTGTCCTCTGCTTTTCAGTAACGTTACAGGAAAGTATTAGTTTTATTTTTTCCATTTTTAAAATTGCTGTACCAAGGAAGCATGGACTTTTGCAGCCTTCAACATCCTAACTGGAAGAGAAACTCCACCTTGGAGATTAAAAAAAAAAATCCCAGTGCCTGAATGCATCCCAGATCAAGTAAATCAGAATCTTTGGAAGTGAGACTCAGGTGTGTAAGTGTTTTCTAAGACTCACCAAATGATTCCAATGTGCAGCCTAGGCCAGTAACCTCTGGTTGTGGCTCAGAATGCTGTTAACAACCTCCTTTGTGAGTTAAATAATTGATTTTGAAATCTTCTTTGCACCATTTGCAATTTATGGAAGCCTTCAGACAGTCTTGTCTCTGGGACTATTTATAAAGTGGTGGCTGTTAGAATATTATAATTTGGCAGTTTTCTCTGAGAATATGATATTACTACAACTATTATGATTGTTGTTGTTACCATTATTAGTGGAGAGGTCTGAGTCTGAAGGCCCATGAGGCTGGGGGATTGCTAAGGTACAGGGAAGGAGACCTCTTGTTGGATCCGCAAGGCTGTTAATTACTTACTTCTCAACACAGGTGGGACCACTGGTAGTGGCCCAGAACCCCAGCACTATAAAGATGATGGATGTGACCAGCAATGAGGTCCCCAGGTTGACGAGGACCACCAAGGAGGCCATCTGGATATAGTTGTCTTCTCCAGCCTTGTAGGAGGAGAAGTTGATGGTGGTGCCCATGCCCAGGCCCAAGGAATAGAGCACATGGCCTCCTGCCTGACACCACAGGTCCAGAGAGGCCCAGGCTGAGAGCTGTGGATGGGGATGAGAGAGAAACGTTTGGGGGTGAGCTTGAGAGTGGACCCATTGGTGAACTGGAAGAGGGATGAGCTGGGGTGGAGAGCAGAGGAATGAGGGGCAGGCTGGGAGCAGAGAGGAAGATGTCGGAGAAGGAGAGTCAGAGAAGGCCTGGGGAGTTGGGGGAGGGAGAAGGTTTGGCGTCCCCAGCCTCACCTCTGTGGTCACCATACGTCTGAGGCTGGCAACTGCGCCCTCCAAGAAGAGGCCTCGGATGAGGAAGCAGAGGAGGAGGATGTAGGGGAGGAATACTGTGAAAATCAGGATCTGGCCAGGTGGGTCAGGACAGAAACCAGAAGTCAGGAGAAGTGGGGAGGAGGGGGAGGCAGAGGCAAGCATTAACAGGGAACACAGGTCAGCAGGAGTAGAGAAATGGGGATGAGCCGGGTTAAGGTGGCCTGGGTGGAACATGAGGGAGCTGTAGGAGGATTATTCTAGGGAGACAACAATGTTGTTTGGGGGAACATCCACCAATAAGCTGCTGCTCAGAGGTGAGGGGTGAGACCCCAAGTAAAGATGGTTTTTAAATGGTAGGGCAGTTGGACATTATTACTTCACAGGCCTGGGTTTTATGGTCTGTGCATGAGTTAAGGCTGCATGCAACAACATCACAGGTGAAGGCGGAGGAACAGCAACTGAGAAGAGACTTTGGGAGGAAGTGACACGGTCAATGGGAATTTTAAAGTATTTCTGGTTCTTTTTGCTCTGGGATAGGAGGGTAAGGCCCTCTCTCTCAGTGTGCCCCTACTAAGCCTTTAGTATAATCTGCTTTTGTGCGAGTGGTTTATCTTGGAGGTTGTGGAGAGAGTGGTGAGGTGAGCCTCCAGGGACACATAGGGTGACTGCGTGAGTAGATGCAGGGGCCAGAAGCTACAGGTAAAGCTAACCAAAATGACCTGAAACACTGAAATAATTTTTCCGTGTAAAGAGAATATGATCCAGATGCCAGGGGCATGCACTGGAAGTATGGACTGGAATAAAATGGGAAACTCTGGAGAGGAACCAGTGGCAATTAGGTCTCTCAGGGATTAACAGGTGCTGTCAACATGCAGGCAGGTGCAGAATGCAAGGCTCAGGCAGAGAGGCTGTGATCTGCTCTAGAAGGTCTCCACGGCTGTGACTTGGGGGTGAAGGATGGTGAAGAGGGAGCTGGGTCAGTACAAGGCCCTCATTCCTGCCATGGGTGGGAGAGGAGCAGTTCTTTGTGAGAGGAGTGGTTGATGCCGCAGCCTGGGGAGATTATAGCACCTTCCTGAGGACCCCTGGATGGTGGAGCCAGGAGTCCTGGCCCCCCTCCTCTTTACCCCCTACAAGTCTGGGAGACTCTAGGAGTCGGGGAGGGTCACAGGGGATTAGAGAAGAGAGGTCAACAGGAAGGAGTTGGACGGAGTCAGGTGGGAAGCCTGAGAATACTTGGATTTGCGAACATGAAGGGGTAGAGGAGTCCGTGATCAGGGTGGCTTACCGGCATTGAAGTATTCAGCCCTGTGATCATGGTTAAGAAGAGGAGGCACCAGGCTGCGAAGACGCCCAGGGTGAGGTGCAGGACAAGGGCCTCGACCCCTTCTTCAATGTGGCCTGAGGCACTCAGGGTGGTGTGGTACCAGAAGTACTGGTGGGACACAGTCTGAAGGCAAGAGAGGTCTGGGGGGGACGCAGGTGCTTAGGCACCACCTCACTTGGTATCTTGCCCCTGCTCTTCGCTTCCTCCCCTTGGGCTCTCACTCCCTGTCTCTTGCTCCTTGGCGCCCTTGCCTCCCATAGCCCTGCTGGCCTTCTCTCTCCCTCTCCTCACCAGTGACATTGATGGTCTTCACCAGTGGGCACTGGTTCCAGGGCAGGGAGTTATCAAAGGAGTTGCCCAGGTAGGAAAGGCTCCAGGTGATGATGATGCTGTTATACAAGCTCATCAAGATGCACACCTAGGGGTGGACACGGGGGGCCTGAGGGACAGGGTGGACAGAAACGGGGGACCTGGAGACCACAAGGGGTGAGTTGGGATGCCTCTTGGCTGGGCCCCTCATTCACCAATATGCTAGCATATCCTATGCCGCCCAGCCAGGGGATGAGCTGCTTCCAGACCCGGATGTTGTCCACACGCAGCCAATGCCCCATGATCATCTCCATGTACAAGAGGGGAATCCCGAACAAGAGGAGCATGAAGAAGTACATCAGGATAAAGCTGCCTGCAGAAGGGAGCCAGGAGCTGTGCTCAGGCAGCCAGGAGTCCTGGTCCCCCTCCTCTTTATCCGCTACAAGTCTGGGCAAACCTCTAGTTCTTTCCTCCCCCCAGGACCCAGGAGTCTGGGCTCCAAGCCTTAACACTACTTCCTGAAACTCAGGATCCAGGCCCCTGGCCTTACCTCCTCCGTTCCGATGACACAGGTAGGGGAAACGCCATATGCTGCTTAGCCCAATGGAGAGGGCAACCTGAATCAAGATGTTCTTAGTTCTTTTAGTCTGAGCAAAGTAATTTTGGGTCTTGGTGGCCAGAATCTCCTTGCCTGTGAGCTTCCAGGATGGGGAAGAGGAACTTGTGGGTTCTCTGGGAGTCTCTTCCTCTGATAGTTCTTCAAGGGACTCCATGACTTTCTTCTTACAGGCCAATTAACTCCTGAGGGAATCTTGAGGTCGCCAAGAAGAGCAGACTTTAAGGGCTATGTCTCAGATACCAGCCTGTAAATGACAGCAGGGTTTTAGAGCAAACAAAGGGCCAGAATTTAACTCTTGGCCCTTCTCACTGGTTGAACTTAGGGCAAATAACTTCATCTCTCTGAGACTCGGGTTAATTTTTTTCCCCTCATCTTACAAGCATAGATGACTTTCCAAAATATTTAATAACTGTTACAGTGTGAGCACCAATCAGAATGAAGGCCAGCCATAACCACTGGAGTGTCAGCTTAACATCAGCCCCGTCAGCCCTGTTTGATAGGATTAAAAATGACGTAACGAGGACACCTGGGTGGCTCAGCTGGTTAAGCGAGGGGAGAGGACGGAGAGGCCAAGGCTCAGCCTGGGATATGAGACCGAGAGAGTTTAAAAGTAATTATGGGGGCGCCTGGGTGGCTCAGTCGGTTTAAGCGACTGCCTTCGGCTCAGGTCATGATCCTGGAGTCCTGGGATCCAGTCCCACATCCGGCTCCCTGCTCAACAGGGAGTCTGCTTCTCCCTCTGACCGTCTCCCCTCTCATGCTCTCTCTCTCTCTCTCTTTCTCTTTCAAATAAATGAATAAAAATCTTAAAAAAAAGTAAAAATGATGTAACGGGAGTGCCAAGGACACAGCAAACACTCCAGCACTCAGGTTCCTTTCCTTTGTCCTTCTGGTCTACTTGGCCCAGCTAACGCACACAAAGCAAACCTATCACAACCATGGAGCTCTCAAAACACACAGACTCCTCCTGCCTTTGAATCTGCCAGCCTCACTCTTCCAGACTGATTCAGTAGATCTAAGATGGGATCTAGAGGATTGGTAGAATTCGAAAGCTTACTTGGGGTTCGATTTCTGGAAAGGCAGCATGAGGGCTCCGTGGACCCATTCCTTAGTGAAACAAGCAAAACTTGCGACCATTGCAAAGAAAGGAACATTTAAGGTCTTTGGAAATTGTCCTAAGGGCATGCAGCCAATGAAGAAACATTTATTCAAGAAAATCTAGTAAAACTCTCTGAGAACAGTGAGAGTCAGTGGCATTGGACCCACAGCCTGCTCCCTCCCTCCTTACGCCTAGCCTAGCGCTATGGAAACTGCACAGGGTTCCCTCTCTCCCCAAATCCCACTCAGAGGCTAGGGAATCTTCCCAGGAGGGGCAGACCACCAGCATTTCGCATTCCTTTTCAGTGACGTGTTACAGACACTAAATTCCAGACGTGTGGTGTAAGTAAAGGTCAGGAGCCCCCTTCTTCCACTCCGCCCTCATTTCTGGCAAGGCATACTGGGAATACTGGGGCCCTAGTCTCCCCCGACCCCAGCTCATTGGTGAGTGGAGGTTATAATGCTAGGAGGGGCAAGTCAGTAAGACCAGAGGCTAATGCTCCACATAGCATCCTGCTCCAAAAGCACTCAGAGAGAAGCAGGCCACTGTTCCCATCCAGCTCTGAAGATCTTGTCCTGGGAGAGAGGCCTTCGGAACACATGGGCCCAGAAGCGCTTCCCGGAAGAACCGACTTTATTTGAAGCAGAGTTGAGGAAGTTGAATCCTAAGGGCACCCTCAAATTCAGTGGAGGTTTTGGTGGTAGCAATTAAGAGGAGGCTGGTAACTTCATGAAGATGCAATGAAGACAAAGTTTTGTCACCAGAAGGCCCTGCACCAAAGGAAATACTACTTGGGCCTATTTGGGGATTCCTCTGTAAGAAGGGACGTTATCCTAGGTGGAAGGTCGGACATGCAGAAAGGAATCGAGAGAAATGAAAACGTAAATCTGTGGATAAAATGGAGACTGCACAGAAACAGTAACAGTAACATCTTATTGGGTTTTAATTAAGTGAAGAATAAGAATTACATGACATCAAAGATTTGGAGGGTGGCAAATGGAACTGAATTGTTGTAAGTACTTTGTGTTGTCTAAGAAGAGGATAAATGTAAAGTGGGGACGCAAGCCCCCGCAGACCCCACAATTTAGACATATGGCTCCGAGCGGCTTCTGACCAGAGTCACGGGGCCCTTAGTTACTGTTAAAGGAACTTGTAAAATTGCCTCAGGAAATACCATCAGGTTGCCTCTTGAAAAGTCTGTGGGGTGGGGCACCTGGGTGGCTCAGTTGTTAAGCGTCTGCCTTTGGCTCAGGTCATGATCCCAGGGTCCTGGAATCCAGCCCCACATCGGGCTCCCTGCTTAGCGGGAAGCCTGCTTCTCCCTCTCCCACTACCCCTGCTTGTGTTCCTCCCTCACTGTGTCTCTGTCAAATAAATAAATAAAATCTTAAAAAAAAAAAGTCTGTAGGGGTGCTGCTCTGCCTGAGATAACAAATCTCACGTGCAGTGTTTGCAAGAAAACATAATAATTTGCAGCTTAGCAGTAGCCACAGGATGTAGAACTTCTGCCTCTGTACTCCAGAGATGATGTCACTAATGCAGTCTGCCCAAAACAGTTTCCAGTTCCGGGGCCCTAAAACAGAGCAACTACTGCACAACAGCTACACTGAAACCAGACAGGAACAAGCCAGAGAGACGGGATGGTCAAGAAAGGGAATGGAGCTTACCCAATCTTTAATTAATCATCATGATCCAAGACCCTGAAACCCTTACCCTGAATTTTCACCCTTTAAAAACCCCTCCTTGCAAGCCACTGGGGAGTTCGGGACTTTTCACCATTAGCTCCTGGTTCTCCTGGGTGGCACCACACCAGTAAATCTTTCCCCACTGCAAAAGCTTGGTGCCAGTTTTTATTGACTTGCTTAGCATTGGGTGGGCAAACTCTTGTTTGGTTCGCTTACGGTACCAATAAACATTATTTGATAAAATATATGCATATTTACTATCTAGGGGAACCATTAAAAGAATAACAAAAAAGTATAATTTCTAAGCTATAAGAGAAAAAATAGACTAATAAAAGCAAGCAATGCACGCAGAATGCAAGGAGAAAAAGTAATATAGAGTAGATAGACAGGCACAAAAATACCTCATTAAATGATTTAAACCTGAACATATCAGGATTTGTGTTAAATGTAAATGGACTGAATGCTCCAATTAAAAGATGAGTTTTCAGACTTCATAAAAAACCAAAATCAGACTAAATTCTGTCTACAAGAGACATCTAAAATGTAAGAATTTGGAATAGTTCAAAGTAAAGAACATGAAAAATAGTATTCCATGAAAACTCTACCCAAAAGAAAGCTTGTATAGCTTTACTAATATATTAATATATAACTTTTAGACATTAAATTATAATACTAATGTTTATATATACTTAATGTTTATAAATATATTAACATGCATTTAATATTTCAGGTAAAGTTTCCAGAGATAAAGAGGGAAATTTAATAATGATAAGAAGTTTCATTTGCTGGGAAGACATATGAATTCTAAAATGTTATGCATCTCTTAATATGACCTCAAAATGTAGGAAATGGATAGAATCTACTTATCTTAGACATAACAGATAAAGAGCAAAAATTCATTAAGGATATGGAAGATCTGAACAACTTAATTAGTACATTTGACCTAATGAATATATATGGATATGCACACACACACGTAACTATATTCAACAACTGCAGAATACATATTTTTATGACAGGCTAAACAGGGGCACCTGGGTGGCTCAGTCTGTTAAGTGTCTGCCTTTGGCTCAGGTCATGATTCCGGGGTCCTGGGATGGATCCCCGTGTCGGGCTCCCTGCTCAGTGGGGAGTCTGCTTCTCCCTCTCCCTTTGCCCCTCCCTCCTGCTTATGCTTCCTCTCTCTCTGTCAAATAAATAAATAAAATCTTTAAAAAAATAATATGCTAAACAATTACAAAAAATCAACCATATTTTCCATAAAACAAATCTCAAAATTTCAAAGAATCACAGTCGCATAGTGTATACTTCTGACTACATTAATTAAGCTAGAAATTAATAATAAAAATTAGTTTTAAAGTTCCCATGTTTGGATATTAAAAACTACATTTTAAAATAACCAATGATTAAAGAATCGGTTATAATGGACATCAGAAAATATTTTGAATAGAACGATAATGAAAACGTGGTGGGGGGGGCCCCTGGCTGGCTCAGTCAATGGAGTGAGCAACTCTTGATCTGGGGTCATGAATTTGAGGCCCACATTGGGTGTAGAGATTGCTAAAATAAATAAATAAATAAATAAATAAACTTAAAAAAACCGGAATGCAGCTAAAGCCAAATATTAGAAATTTTAAAAACATGAAAATTAATAAGCTAAGATTCCATCCCTAGAAATTAGAAAATAATAGCAAAATAAACCCAAAAAGGAAGGCGGCAGGGAATAATAAAGTTAAGAGGAGAAATTAATAAGATGGAGGACAACATAGAATAGAAAAGATCAACAAAATCAAAGGTTGGTTCTTTCTTTTTTTAAGATTTAATTTATTTGAGAGAGAGAGAGAGAGTGTGTGTATGAGCAGGGGGAGGGGCAGAGGGAGAGGCAGAGAATCTCAAGGAGACTCCATGCTGAGTACAAAGCCCTATGTGGGGCTCGATCCCATGACCCTGAGATCATGACTTGAGCTAAAACCAAGAGTCAAATGCTTAACTGACTGAGCCACCCAGGCGCCCCAAAGGTTGGTTCTTTAAAGAGACAAATGAATTTGATAAAAATCTCTATTAAGACTTGCCAAGAGGGCGCCTGGGTGGCTCAGTTGGTTAAGCGACTGCCTTCGGCTCAGGTCATGATCCTGGAGTCGCTGGATCGAGTCTAGCATCGGGATCTCAGCTCGGCGGGGAGTCTGCTTCTCCCTCTGACCCTCCCCCCTCTCATGTGCTCTCTCTCTCTCATTCTCTCTCTCTCAAATAAATAAAATCTTAAAAAAAAAAAGACTTGCCAAAAAATAAAGAGAGAAAGCACAACCAACCAGTGTTGGAATAAAAAAGCAGCATCATTATAAATCCTGTAGTTATTGAAAATATAATCAAACACTACAATAAAGAATTTTATGCCAGTAAGTTTTTGGAAAAATAATATTTAACAACTTATGCAAGAAGAAATAGAAACTCTGAATT